GTCCGGTTGTAAGAGTCGCTGCATAAGTGACAACAGCGTCAAATGGCCGTTACTTGAACGAAATCTTGACTAACAACCATATCTATTTTTCTTTTACTTACCCCTAACTGACTTCAACACCGTAGGAATTGCCAAAATGACCAAGCCTAGCATCAACCTCAAAGGTGACTTTGTGCAGATCATCGACGGGCAAAGCGCCCCCACCAAAGAAACACGACATGGATTGAACCCTGCAAACCTACAGGAGATGGACCAAGTCCCTGTAGCTACTCAGCAGGATCTCGATCGTGCGGTCGCAGCAGCAAAGAAGGCCTTCAAGATATGGAGCAAGACTCCTTATGAGGAGCGTCGCGAATCTGTTCTTGCTTTTGCTGATGCTGTGGACTCTCATCGTAATGAGTTTCAAGCTCTCCTCACAGCTGAACAAGGGAAGCCAGTATGTTTAGGCCCAATAGAAACCTGAATGGTGTGTTTGAGACTGATGACGTTAGATTCCCCAAGCTGTGTATGAGACCGACGCTGCTATCGAGTGGATGCGTGGTATGGCTCAGATTCCGCTTCCGGAAGATGTTCTCGAAGACACGGAGCAACGCACCATCATTAGCCGCTACACGCCTATTGGAGTTGTTGCAGCTCTCGTGCCCTGGAACTTCCCTCTTTTGCTTGCTACGGGCAAGATCGCCCCGGCACTATTGACCGGAAACGTGATCATCGTAAAGCCATCGTAAGTGCCACCTTTAAGAAGTCCGCCGATTCTGACTGATTCCGCGTTAATGAAGGCCGTTTACTCCTTATGGCGGTCTGAAATTGGTTGAGCTTGCACAGCAGTTTTTCCCGCCTGGAGTGGTTCAATCGCTCAGCGGCGATGATAAACTTGGTCCTTGGATGACTAGTCATCCTGGTGTTGATAAGATCAGCTTCACAGGCTCAACAGCGACAGGAAAAGCTGTTCTTCGAAGCGCCAGCTCCACGCTGAAACGCGTGACCTTGGAACTGTAAGCCTCCTTTGACTTTTTAAGCCCTCTATAATCGCTAACTCGGTCAGCGGCGGCAATGATCCAGCCATCATATTTCCAGACGTCGATATCGACAAGACTGCTGAGAAAGTAGCCTTTTTCGCATTCCTTAACTCGGGCCAGATTTGCCTTAATCTCAAGCGAATCTTTGTGCACCAGAGCATTTATCCTCAGTTCAAAGAGGCACTTGTCAAACATGTCAAGAGCTATACTTTGGGCGATGGGTCTAAGGAAGGTGTAACACACGGCCCGCTGCAGAATGCTCCTCAGTTCAAGCGTGTAAAAGGCTTTTTTGAGGATATTGAGAAGGAGGGCTGGAACGTTGCTGTTGGCGGCAAGATTGACTCTTCTGAGGGGTATTTTGTTAACCCTACTATCATCGACGTACCCCCTGAGACATCCAGGATCGTTGTTGAAGAGCCATTCGGTAAGACTCAAGCCTTTGATGAGATATCGAACTAGACTGACAATGCGCTCTAGGACCAATTGTGCCACTTCTCACGTGGAGTAGTGAGGAAGAGGTAATCGAGCGTGCAAATGATACGACCATGGGACTAGGAGCCTCTATTTGGTGTAATGACATTCGTCGTGCTCACCGTATTGCACGAGAGATTCAAGCTGGCAATGTCTGGGTTAACACTCATTTTGACTTGACTCCAGTGGCAGCATTTGGCGGTCACAAAGAGAGTGGTATTGGAACTGAGTGGGGTGCCAACGGTTTGAAGGGCTTTTGTAACGTTCAGACCTTGTTTCTGAACAAGAATATCGTCTCGTAGTTATGTAGGCCTGTATGCAACACTTTTGCCATTTTTCGTCCTTCTTAGTTTGGTGTTGTTCTCTGGTCAATCGTTGTGGAATATCTTCACTTGTCTTGGTGGAACGGGACCACATCAACTAATCTGTATAAGTTGACGCAATTAATGCTCAAAGGAGCACTGTCGGTAATCACGATCTTCTCGAATTCCATAATCCTCATTCTAAGCTTGCTAAATATATTGAAATAGTCAAGTTCCGAGCTCATCTTTGCCCTGATCTACACCAAGGGAGAATTATTGCAATGCTTTCAGCTCTGTTATTGAGATCGAAGCAAGGACTCAACCAAAAATGCCACACGGGTTCTCTTCTGGTTTAGCAGCCTGAGCCCTCTGAACAAGGGCACTGAAAGGGACCGGTTAGTGAGTCCCCGCTCGGTCCGATGCCCGGGTTTGCTATCCCAAGTTCGTCATGTGCCGTTGCTCTGTCCCGGGCGACGGCTGATAAATCGTCCAAGACGCGGGTATCCACGATGTCTCAGTGCTATCTAGAAATTATATGATTTATCTTCGCTCTACAGCTCTTGCTTAAAACTCACCGCCAACAATCAAAGATGGCCCCCGTACTTCTCCCAATAATGAGACGCAGGCCTCTTTTTTCTCGCCTTGGAGTTATTAGCTCCATGAACCTATCTCGTCCGTTTATCCCACGTCTCATTCCGGCCATATCCTACTCAACATCTGTTCAGCCGATCTGGTCTAACCCACATGAACCCGTACCTTTGATCGCACGAGCCCCAAGACTTTCTATAGTCCAAGGCCCCATCAACCCTCCACTTTGGAACAGAACCCTGGGAAATCTGGTCAAAGAGCAAGCTGAGCGGCGCGGTAAAAGAACTGCGATTGTTATACCATGGCAAAGCAGAAGACTCACATATGAGGACCTTGAGTATCGCAGCTCTATTGCCGCTAAAGCCCTTCTAAAAGCAGGCTTGAAGCAGGGCGATGCAGTTGGAATATTTGCCGGCGATCGCTTTGAGTACATCGAGCTATTTTTGGCATCTGCTAGAATTGGTTGTCCCTTTGTGGTGTTCAACACGACAAACTCACCTCATGAGCTTTGCTCTGCCGTGGCTCGTAGCGGTTAGTCAGCCAAACCCCCAGATCTTGCAGAACTCTAATGCTTTGTTTTGCAGATTGTAAGGCGTTGTTTATTGCGTCGTCCATTGGATCGATAAAGGCGGACGATCATGTTTACCAAGTTGCTACGACAACAGAAGTAGGCGCAAGTCTGGAGCAGCTTATTCTGTTTGATGGATCTCCATCACGGGAACTGTTCAACTGTCATAGATATGAAGACTTCCTGAATGAAGGCACTGACGGAACTATAACGGAAGAACAACTTGAGCGAGCCGAGACTCGTGTTCAACCTGCTGACGTCTTGAACATGCAATTTACCTCTGGTGAGATAATACCCTAAACACAATTAGGTCTTCGACTCACCGTTTGGTCTCTGACATATTCTAAGGTACTACTGGCCTTCCGAAAGTCTCCATGCTCACACACAAGTAAGAACCTCGTTCCTGTCAAGCCACTTTCAATCCTCTGACAAGCCATTCTAGCAACTTGCTCAACGATGGTAGATACGTGGGGCATGCCATGAGACTCACCCAAGACGACGTTGTATGCTGTCCGCCCCCTCTATTCCACTGCTTCGGTCTAGTCATGGGATTTCTCGCGTCCTTCACCCATGGTAGTACTATCGTGTTTCCATCCGACAGATTCAACGCGAAGCAAACTCTGGATGCAGTTGAGGCAGAAAAGGCTACTGCACTACTCGGTGTCCCCACAATGTTCATATCAGAGCTGGAACAGATGGAATCACAGCCTCGGAAAATCACAACAGTGCGTACTGGTCTCGTTGCTGGCTCGCCTGTGTTACCTAGTTTGATGGATGAACTGAGAGCCAAGATGAATGTTCAGGGTATGCTTATAGCATACGGAATGACTGAGACAAGTCCTGTGACATTTATCACTTCCCTAGACGACCCTGATGACAGGATGCTTACTAGTCTTGGTCGCGTTCTTCCCTATACCGCAGCCAAGATAGTCGACACGAAGGGACACACAGTTCCAATCGGCGAACGTGGGGAGATCTGCACTAGTGGGTTTGCCTTGCAAAAGGGATACTACAAAGACGAGGTCAAGACACAGGAAGCAATGAGGTATGATGAGAATGGTGTCTTATGGATGCATACTGGCGACGAAGGATACTTGGACGAACAAGGTTACGGTTTCATCACTGGCCGCATCAAAGATCTTATCATCCGCGGCGGTGAGAATCTGTCTCCCAGCGAGATTGAGAACCAGTTGCTGCTTCATCCAGCAGTCAGAGAAGCATGTGTGGTGGCAGTCAAGGATAAGATCCACGGTGAAGTAGTCGCAGCATTTTTACAAGCTTGCTCGCAGGAGAAGAAACCGTCAGACGAAGATATCAGGGAATGGGTTTTGCAGGATCTGAGCCCAGTCAAGGTGCCGGCATTCATCTTTTGGCTTGGCCACGATGGCGTGGATGCTGAGTTGCCCAAGACTGGAAGTGGAAAGTATCAGAAGCATATCATTCGTGACATAGCAAATCGACTAGCAGGAAGAAGAGGCACGGCAGAGGACTGAAGACAGGCTAACTTGATTAAATTAACATCCGCAAATCTGTTAGTGTATTGTTTTCTGGTTCGTGTACTAAGCTTCGCTTTTATAGAGTCGCTTTGGATACGTCCGCAATCAAGGCGCGTCGCATTGAGCTGGGAGAAAACCTTACTCTGCTCTGCTGATCTTAGAATTGCTAGCATTCCGGCCAACGTCAACAATTTGATACACAATCCCACGACTGGGGTATTCGAAGTCTATCTCAACTATACTATTTCCTCGAGCAGACTTGTTTTTTTGCAACGTACAATCGGGAGCTTTGTTGGCTTGGTATGTCTCGTTGAGATATCATAAGCTTTAACTATCAATCAGTGACGACCGAATCGTGAAGCGACTGATGCCTGATCAAACAGGGGCTGTGTCGGGTTAATAATCTTGCACTGCCGGCGGGGTGTTTTAAATTTATATAAAGGTGCCTGTTGCAACCAACACTTAATCCTCGCTGCCGCTTACCAACACCTGTTTTCTCCGCTCTTACCATCCTTCAAAGTATAATCCATCTCATTGCACTGTATCTATCGCAATAATGTCGGACAACCCACCACGGGACAGGTCAATTACTACATGGTTCAAGTTCAAGCTTCCAGAGGACATTTTGCTAGATGAATCATTATTCCATGCTTTGCACCCAACCATGAAAGAGTGGTCACATGTTCGTCTCTGAAAATGACGCTTCGAATCAAACTTGCTTACTTCTGCCAGGCCTGCTACGGAAGAGTCAAGGAATCTCCGCAAGACTGTGTGCTTCTACTCAATTGGTATCGCACCAGATCCTGGCTTGAGTTCTCGCAGTCCGAAAGCTATGCAGAGTTGCTTTCCAGCCTTGGCGCTCACTCAGATGTTCCAGTCGTAACTGAGATCATCGACTTCAACAGGGACTACGTCACAATCGCACTGTCGTCTCATACCGAATTAAAGAGAGTCTATTTCCCATCCTCAATCTCACAAGAAACGCGACGTGCCGTATGGGACAGAGTGCGACATCTGGCGCCTTCAGTTGCCTATGGGAAGAAGTTTCAGCATAGAAACCCCTATCTAATGGGCCCAAGCTTGGGTTGGGTTGAAGAGGATGTGAGATGGGAGGGGCAGGAGGCGGTAGCGTGTGTCTGGGTTCATAAGTGGAAGAGTCAGGAAATCGAGGAGAGATTCAAAGCCACTGCACGGTATCCCCACATGAAGGATGGCGAGCTTATAAAACCTCTGACTCTTGATCTATTTGAGCAAGGTCTAAGGGATTTGGGCGCTTTGGGCTGGGAGGAATGTCACGTAGGCTTTGAAACGCACTGTTATATCCCGTAATTAGAGTTACAATGAAATAGAAATATGGCATTCACTCTAGTAGCGATGGGCCATTGATACTTAGAACCGTCACCATAAATCGCCCTCCTTGTTATCGCACTGAATACCCGAGGGCCCCCCAGCACTTGCGATTGCCCTCTCTACACAGCCTGCCTTGATAGTTATCGGCAAGGTGAAAGTAAACATATGCCGCGCAGTCCAACCGTCCCCTGTCTCAACTTCAATCGCACTGGAATGCCAATCCGTCATTGCTCCACAGCCCTTTTCTTCACTTTTCAGCTTCTTGCCATCGTCATCGATCCAACTGTAGCCGTTTGCGACAATGGTCACAGTGTAGAAGAGGGGAATGGCAAGTCCGTCCTCAACTAACTCACAGGCAGCTTGTGGTTCCGGAGCTGGACCTTGCTCACAGTTGGGGGAGTGGCAGGGGTAGTGGGTGCAAACCATGCCATCAGCGTCTGTGGTTGTCGTTGCATCGTCTCTGCAGTCGGGCATACAAGCAACCTATTGTACGTTTTAGATCACTTTCCGATGATATCTGTAGTTGGACTACTCACAATACCGCCCTTAGCCGTAAAGGCGAACCTTTTCTCGTTGATATCCGATGTTTTGAACAGCAACTCAACATAATTGCCACCTGGCGTTATTAGCATCGTCTAGAAGCGTGGGAGTAACAAGCATCTTACTGGACTCATCGGGAACTTCCCACTTGATCTCGAGGTCTTTCCCACCATCTCCACTCTCAATGCTATCGTCATCATCGTTTCCAACTTTCCAACTCTTCACGGCCTCTTTGACATTATCGTCGTCAATCACAAAGTCCCAATCTGACCCTTTATCATCCGAGACGGGAATAAAGAACTTCAAGGTACCGCCCTGAGTTGGTATGGCTGCATGAGCTGTCGCCGAGTATGTTTCGTAGCCCGCGTCGCAGAATGGTGTTATCTCCGGTGTCGTCATGGTAACAACTGCTGTGTTGACCCAAGACGCACAACTGGGCTTCTCGACACAGGCTTCTCGATTACCTGAGCCCCCACATTCTGTATAAGTGGCCGTAGAAACGCAAGAGAGGCCAGACGAAGCTGGAACACCAATAGAAGGAGCTCGGGTGAGTGTGGGGAAAGACTCGGTAGTAGCTTTGGTCGTTGTGATTTGGGACGTAGGAGATGCCAATCTACCAAACTTCTTATCGAGTCGAGCTTGTGCTGCGTCTGCTATGTCGTTGAGCTGTGCTCCTGTATACTCATCGATATTCCATTCCTCCCACGTGAGCCTGATGGCTGTTACAGTAGGGGTCTCCGTGCTAACTGTAGTTGTTTTAGAGATAGTTCTTGAGGAGTCCTCTCCTTTTACGTCACATCCGTAAATAGTGCCGCAAGTGGAAATGGTACTCGTTGCTGTTGTAGATGTAGTAGTACCATCAACCGAAACCCCATAAGAAGTAGTAGTGATGCACATCTCAGCTGTCTCAGTCTTACAGTCGTCCGGCTTACTGGAGAATGTTGGATTACCGGCCGGATCGATACTAAGGAATACATATCAGTTTGGCATACCAGGAACGGAGAAATATCAACAGTAACATACGTGAATCCGGGCCATGGGATAGATCCTGTGATATCTACCTTAATAGGTGCGGTAGGGTCGATCTTGATAATCGGAGGGGGGCCACTAGAAAGGTCAGTTACGGTTGACTGTGGCATCAGCCATGCTACAAGTGATTTATACATACGGTGGATGAGTCCCAGGAGGAAGCACGAAGCCCCATCCGCCAATGGGTGCGAGGCATAGATCAAAGAACCACATGTCGCAGGGAATCTTGATACCATTATCGCTTCTCTCTGGATCGGGTACTGTTGTTGTGATTGGGATGATGACGGGAACGACTCCGTCTGTTTCAGTGGACTCTGGAGCCTTTGTGACATCACTGGTACTATGCCTGGGTAGAGTCGTAACCTGACCATTGGGTAATGTGGTTGTGGAATTAGAGGTTGACTCAGGAGCTGTAGTAAGTGGGTCCTTTGTGACGAGAGAAGTAGGAAGGGGATCATTTGACTTGCTGGCTTCGGCATGACTCGAGTGCTCAGTGCCAGGGACGGGGTCGACAGATGTCGGTGGAACAGACATAATGGAACTAGGTTCCTGACTGTGATGTGCACTATCTGTTGCACCTTGGGATGGAAGAATAGAATCAAGTGTCCCGGTTGCGAATGGTGACGTGGTGGGAGTGTCTGTTGTGGTGATCGCTATCGAGAAAGTGCCACTCGTAACCAAAATGGATGTAAGAGTTTCATTGACGGACAGAGTTTGGCCAGAAGTTGAAGCCGCAGGACCACCGCCGTCAGTACTGGGGATGAGTATTGTAGTGATACTCCTGTCATCGCCTCCGCGAGAGTCAGTGGTAGGCGTATGAGTTGTCTCTGAGAGATCGGTTCCTGGAGAAATGGGATTGGTGGGGGAAATGGCAGTCACCATGCTGCCAGGTAAAGTGGTGGCAGAGGCTGGCTCAAACGCGATGGGGACGATGTGAGTGTTTGGTAAGGTGGTATCTCCATCTGGAATATCGCGGCTTGCATCAGATGGCTTCTCGGGCTCGCCACTTGTCGGCTGGCTATTGGGAATGGTAGTAGCATCCCCAGGACCGGACACTACCTCATCAGAGCTAGTGGTGACTTGGTTACTTGGTAATGTTAAGACTGGGGGTCCTGCTGTGACAAAAATATGTGATGATATGGATGATACCGTGGTGTGTTCTGATAGCCGTCGTTCTGAAGTAGTTGTAAGAGAAGGGGGTTGAGGGTTTGTGGAGATTTTGCCAGAGATATTGTCATCGGCCGTTGGGGAAGATAGTTCAGGTTTACGGAGAGTGATGATGGTGGTTGGGTCAGAGATAGATGGAAGCGGAGGTCCACACATTCCATTAGCAGCGCAGGTCCAGCCTTCTAGACAGCAGCCCTCACGACAACACGCTCTCTCTGGGACACTGTAAGCCAACATCAGGTACGAGGTAGTCATTCTTACTTGGACCACAGATATGCTCTAGCCATCCGTCTCCACGAGGACAGCAGCTTTCGTCTTGCAGAAGAACACGGCAGTCGCCAGTACACAAGCAAAATCCATCAGGGCATGTTGACGCAACTGGTGAGGTTGACACTGCCGCCAACTGGAGGGCAAGGAGCAACAGCCACCGTGCGACTGTGGCTCTCATAGTTGGCATGGTTGGTTGAACAGATGTAGACAAGTGATAGTAGGAAAGGACCGTAATGGAAAGAATATCAAAAACACGTAAACAAGGGATGTTGATTATATGAGATGGTATAAGAAGAATGAACCAAAGTGAAAGTGAACTAAGGACTTTTATCGCCGTGCGACACAAGATCGAGTTGTCAAATTATGTACATAGGTAGCTGTTCAAGTCCATACAAATGAGGAAAGCGCCGATACACTATAATTATCACAATGCGTTGTCATAAGTAGAGTAAATTTGTCTTCACGTAACATATGCAACTGAAGCAACAGCTACTCTGAAACGCCTGACGCATACACGAAGCAGACCTCGACATGGAATAGATCCTACTTGACAATTACCGCGCGACATGCAGCGCAACGTCAAGGCAGATTACAAGGCAGCAGCAGCTTGTTCATCTTCTCAGAAGAACCCGATTGGTTGTGGGGATAAGCCTCAATTGCGGTATTAATATATTGTGATGCAGGATGAGGATACTCTGTTGGCTTTGATGAATATTGGCCGGTGTGGGGGCCAACAGTAGCATAATCCAGGCGGTAATATCATGATTTTGGGGTCCCGTTTCTTTTTTCAATTGAGTCATGTAATATACTCTCGACATTTGGGTGACAGCCCGAGGCTGAGCTGCAGAAAGGATTGTTTCAAATGAATTTCTCTCAGGACCAACAGAGTTGATGACCAACATACAGTAGCAGTGCTGGTGCTTTCTATAATTGCATCGCGTGTTGGACCGACTCTAGCCAATGCGGTTCGGCGTTGTTGGCCCCCAAAACCCCTGCCATAACTTTGTTACCACTCACTGCAGGCGCTTAGACGAGCATGAAGCTGATCATTCGACATGTCATACACCATCTTCTTAGAATCCCTGTTCACTTTGGTGCTCAGACCTCTGGGGCCAACACGGAAGAAAAGCATGGAGGATGCCTTTGCGTACACTGCCGCAATTTGCCATGATGAGTCCTGCAGCCAAGAACGTGGTGCTTGGTTCCCACGAATGTTAACACTTTAGCAGAACTACAATCTCTCAGGCTACAGTAACACTCAACCAGTATTGAACCCCATAAACTACATATGATCTTGGGCTCGCTGCCTTCCCACATCTATTCAGATATCAATCCATCATAATTCTTACTACTGACCTCAGGCAATCCTGCTTTCCTGTCTTTGTAGTCCTTATCAACCAACTTTTCGTCTCGTCTTGTCATCCGTCTCCGTCTCCCGTCATGACTTGGCTTCAACGTCCAATTCCTTTTACATATAAAGCACTGTTGTTGACACTTCTTGCTCAATATGTCCTAGGTTCAATTGACTCTGTCTTTAACGTTAAACAAGGCAGTGTTGGAGTTGGTGGATGTACGTCTTATAAGAGTAAACTCAACCGATGGTGGACAGATGCCAGAAAGCTTGTCGACGCTGCCCTCTCGTACGCTCAAGACGATAGCGTTGATGGACCCGAATACATATACACCTTTTTTGCATTGGACCCCCCTCCCGCCGACGCCAGGTACAGAGAAACAGTCATCGGTATGTTCTCAATCCCCCGGGTCACAAAATACTCTAGGTAGCCTGTTGCTGAACCATTGAAATAGCTACGTTGCAGTCGGTAAAGAACTTCATCGATGGCGATCTACAACTGCCAACCGGTAAACCATGGCTTTTCTGCTCGAGCAAGTGGTTGGAGCGTAAGTGTGTGTTGTTCCTGCTGAGTCACTGTTCGACTAACGTGGTCTACGTCTAGGTATGGACTGGGATGACGTGGCCTATGATAAAGAGACAGGCAACAAGTTTACAGGTTATGACGCCAAGAAGGTACGAGATGTAGTTGATGAACCAACTCCGCCTCCAGATGAAGCAAACCAGCCAGAAGGTGCGTAGCCAGGTGCCAGGAACATCCCACTTTCCCTGATGATCTTTCTGACTCCAGCCTTCTTAGTGTTCCCATTTTGGTCCTCGGATATCAGAGAATACATGATGGATGAGGCCGATGACTATTGCTCGAAGAAGGTTGACGGAGCCATCCAGAACTTTGGGGCTACTCATGAGGGTCCCGGGCAGACGTGGAAAGCACTTACCATCTGTGTCAGCAACTTGGCATGGAATGCCAAAAATGAGTATCTGCGCCTAGGGGCAATCCAGAAGGAGGGCAAAAGTATTGTGGAATACAGAGCACAGTCCATGACATTATTCCACGAACTCTTCCATGTTGTCCTAGGGGTGGCCAAAACCGAGGAGCATGAAATGAGCTGTGAGTTCAAAGTCCCTTGAATACAGAAATTGACTAATGAGGCATCAGATGAACTGAAGTATATTGCGAACCCGAGAAAAAAGGAAGGTGAGGACCCTGGCGACGAAAATCAAGACATCATCTCCACGCAGGAGGCCTTGTATAACCCCGAATCCTACACATTATATGCTCTTGCTTGTGTTCTTGGACAGAGGAATGAGCGTTTTACGTTCGCTAGTACAAGGTCGGAGCTCAAAAAGAAGGAAGATCCAAAGGACAAGGACGAGGGCAAAGGAGGACCAGGCGGCGCTGGCCATCGAAAGAGGCTGCTGAGGGTTTGAGTTTGTTTGAACTTCGAAGGATGATATAGTATTTATTGAAGATTTATTTTGAATTGTTACACAAACTGTTTACTGCTCGCATTGCGTACCTTATTCCCTAGGTGACCATAAAAAAAGTTGCAGAATATTTTTCCAAGACGGACGTGCTTCCTGCACGATGGGCTGTAAGGACACTGCGTTCAATTTCCTCCACGATCTAAGTCCTTGATTGTGACCAGGCTATAAATAGGAGAAGACCCCAGGAAGAAAGATATTCCGGGGAAAGCCTCCACCAACATGGTGTCATCTGCATGTCACTTTTCTTAGTGCACAGGAAAACCTTCATCCTCAACATTGATGTAGAATAAGACGGCATGGCAGATGATAAGCCGCACTTTGGAAAAGTCCCTGCGGTAAGATCATTGTTCAATAAAGGAAGCTGGATAGCTGAAAGCTAACTGCATACTGCAAGTGTGACTATTGCCGGAGTAAAAAGCTCAGAGTATATCACTACCTCAGTTACTTCTAGTGCAGATGCTAACAGACGAAGTGCTCCAAAGACAGGCCAATATGCATGAGCTGTGCGCGGTCTGGGCGACCGTGTCGTTATAGTGAGAGGACACCAAGAACTCCTCTTACGCGAGAGTAATTGTTCGGCCGAACCCTTGCAATTACGAAGCTGACCCCTCCTTCCAGCTATCTGACTAGAGTTGAGAGACGCCTCGCAAACGTGGAGCGCCTGTTTCACCAGCTTCTCCCTGATGTTGACATCAATGAAGCACTGGCGTCGAGGGGCATTGAAGTGCCGGCAGACGCATCCCAGCTAAATACATCTCTGTCGCCACCGTCAAATCCTACATCACCTGATACTCCAGTTCAGGCCAGCGGTGCCATTTCAGATGCCGTGCCTGCAGAAAGCGATGGCTTTGATTGGCAGGAAGACGTGGATGAGCTGGCGGATGGGATGGCATCGTTATCCGTTGAGCCGAGAGGGGCAGGATACTTGGGTAAGTTAATGGGCGCAGACATAATTGACGCAGAACACTAACTCTCGCCAGGACCGACTGCTGGTGTCTTCTTTCTCAGATCATTGCTCCTCTGGACGGGCCACTCAAGGCCCTTCATCGGTAGTAGCCCTGAGGTTCTACGACCGTATGCGGGAGTCGAGTCTTCTTCCCAGCTATCTAACTCAGTCATGTCGAGACAGGTTATCGAGCAATTAGTAAATGGCTATTTTGAGGTGTACCACCGCAGCTATCCTTTTGTGCACGAACCCACGTTTCGAGCCCAGCTTCACCAAGTTATACAGCGACCAAAACCACGCTCATGGCAGATGCTGCTCTATACCATTATGGCACTGGGGGCTTGGTGTCTCGACAACAACAACACCGAACTCGATGATGAGCTGTACCATCTCGCCTTATCTTTTGGGGATGCTGAGTCCTTGTTTGCTAGCGCCGATCTGACCTTTGTCCAAGCCCTCATCCTGTTCAGCAATCTAAGCCAGAAGCGAAATAAGCCTAACACGGGATCTAACTTTCTTGGGCTCGCGACGCGAATGGCTCTAAGTTTAGGTCTTCACAGAGAGCTCCCCGAGTGGAGTATCAGTCTCTTACAGCGAGAGATGCGCCGTCGTGTTTGGTGGGGGCTATACATGTTTGACAGTGGTGCTTCGACGACCTTTGGGAGGCCGATACTTCTTCCGGGTGAAGAGGCAATGGACGTGCGACCGGTTCTGAATATTGATGATGAGGTATGCGATATCAGGATACAAGATAAAGTCTTTACTAATGCGTGCAAAGGACCTTACAAGTGGAACAAAAGTATCTCCAGAAGAGGTAAACAGGCCGACACTCTACTCAGGCATGAAGTACCAAAGTGATCTACATGTCAAGTCCAATTACATCTCCAATCGTCTGCTCTCATCGTTATGCGTGGCACCAGATGACGCGCTATCCATGGATGCAACATTGGATAAGTGGTCTAGAACATTACCAGAGTACTTAAGGCTGGATCACCATGTCCCTTTAGCTGAGCCTGCGTTCTACTTCAACAGGTCACGTCTTTGGTGGCGGTTCTGGAACCTCAAGATCATCATCTTTCGCCAGTTATTTCTCAAGCGGGCGATTGGCCAGGGCAATTCTAGCATGACGGTATCAGTCAATGAGGTTGACGAAAAATGCATGAGCATTGCGGTACGCGCTGCGAGTGCGACGATAGTGTCGATCGATCAGTACACGACGGAGAGACAGAGAACCAGACTTGTGACTTGGTATTCAATGTAAGTCGTTCTACACAAGTCTTCATGGTTTATAGTAACTCCTGCAGCTATTTCACATTCCACGCTTCCTTAGTCATCGTCCTTGCTATCCTCAGTAATCCAGAATCACCAGACATGCCCAACTGGCAGGAGGACGTCAACACGGTTCGTCGCATCTTCCGAGGGGTATTTGCAGATAATGAGCTTGCGACTCGCTGCGCCAACATCATCGACGTTATTCTGCCGGACCCTCTGTTGACATCGGGTGATTGGTCAAATGTCCAGCTTGACCCTATGCTGATGGACTTTTCGACGTGGCCGGCAGCTTCTGCTGACGAGTTTGCCAGTGTTCTTGGCTGGCCTGACTGGGCCAACTTCCCCCAGTGACAGACTCGTTGGGTGCCCTTTTTTCAGGGTCATCAGTTTATGATGCGTACGTTTGGTTCGATCAGATGGGATCTTATGTAGTCTCCGTTCGGTATATCGTTTTCGTTGGCCCGCTGAATCGCCGCTTCTATTGTCGTCTCAATTCCGGCTCTGAGGTGTCGGGATGCCAGCCGTTCCCTTACTATGTCGACTGGGACATCTACAAACCATCTTCAATAGAGTTAGCCAGGAGCAATACTTGACGAGTAACCGACAACACTTACCTATCGTTTACCAACGTGGAAATGCGTCTCCAAAGGTCTTGGTCCAAGAGTACATAGTTGCCTTCGACGATAACAATTCTAGTGCGTGAAGAGATCTCAACGGCATCGGGGATCGGGTCTTTTCTCGCGTGGTCAAAGCCTGGCGCTTTGATGATGGTTTCGGGCTCGTCAGGTGTCGTCACAGGTGTTTTCCTGAGTAGCACTACGAGATCTACCAAAGCAGTGGCATCGAATGTGAAAGGTGCACCGCGTCTTCTAAATGCTTCATCAGGGTCGGAGAAGGAACAGAGAGTCGTGCGAGTATAATGGAACCCATCCTGACAAGTTGGATGTTAGTGACGTAGTTCGTGCTTGGAGTTAGGGACTCCAGGACATACTGACCATAGGAAGGACTGCGACATCGGAAATACCATTCCTCTTCAGCTCTTTGATCAAAGCATCTGAAATCGTGGTTTTGCCTGATCCCGGTACGCCAGCCAGCGCAATCAAGATTCGTTGTGTTGGAGCTGGAAGCTTTTGCTGGGCCAAAAGACGCTCGACGCGCTCAATGAGATTCCCTGTTGCCTTGACCAAATCGCCGTCCATATTGAGATAGTTGAAAAGTTGAGTTTATTCTATTCGAAATTCTTACATCTTCAGGGGTCTTTATTTTGGTCGCTTCAGAGGAGACCAGTTCTTCTTGAATCATGGATGGACAGCTCCAATTTCCACGGGATTCAGTAGCCCGGACACTTAGCTCCTAGATTTCTAATTGGTTCGGACTGGAGTTGGCCGGACCCAGCGAGATGGAGTCCAACGTAGTATCCAACTCCAGTATTCTGTGGGGTTCAAGTTGCACGCGGAGCAAAACTTGGTCACCTCATGCTGATCCTATACGAATATAAGAACCCCAGAAAATCTCCGCAAATTTTTGTTTCCCCAACTCAATCCCCAGATTCAGCTTCGACCTAAGGATCAATTCAATTATCGAGTTTCAATATGGCTGGTGACCAAATTAGTGGCGAGGAGCAGCTTGCTGCAGTACCCAAGAAGGGTGTCTGGCGCCAGTTGCGTGAGAACCCTTACATTTTCGGACTCTCTATGGTGGGAGATTTCTTATCATAGCTTTATCAGAACTGACACTCTGTGATTAGTTTGCCAGTCTCGGTGGCTTCCTCTTCGGCTACGATCAAGGCGTCGTGTCGGGCGTGTTGACCATGGAGTCGTTCGCCGCTGACTTTCCACGAATTTACCTTGACAGTGGTTTCAAGGGTTGGTTCGTCTCAACATTGCTTCTGTGCGCGTGGTTTGGGTCTCTCATCAATGGCCCTATTGCCGACTACATTGGTAGAAAGGGCTCGATCCTCCTAGCTGTTGTCGTCTTTACTATAGGCTCGGCTTTTCAGGCCGGTGCCGACTCTATCCCTATGCTTTTTGCAGGTGAGTAGCGCGGTTCCTTTCACCCAGTCACTCCTCCTAACACGAAACTCAGGACGTGCTGTCGCTGGTCTTGCAGTTGGAATGTTGACCATGATTGTGCCCATGTACATGTCCGAGGTTTCAAGCCCCGGCATCAGAGGTACGCTCGTCGTTCTGCAGCAACTGAGCATCACTCTTGGCATCCTTGTGAGCTACTGGCTAGAGTACGGGACCCAGTATATCGGTGGCCATCGATGTGCACCCGATATTCCGTACTCAGGCGGCACTTCCGACAAACGCACGTTCGATCCTCGATACGATGTCGGCCCCAATGGTTGTACAGGCCAGTCCGAAGCTGCTTGGCGAGTCCCCTTTGCTCTTCAGATATTCCCTGCACTTGTTCTGGGCATCGGCATGATATTCTTCCCCGAGTCCCCGCGCTTTTATCTCATGCGCCACAAGGAAGACAAAGCCCTTGCCGCTCTGGCTCAACTCCGCCAGGTTCATGTTGACTCAGAATCCATCACAGCTGAGTATCTGGCCATCAAGACAGAGGTTCTATTTGACGAGTCCGTATCAGCGGAGAAGTTCCCTGGAAAGAAGGGCCTATCACTCTTCGCTGCTCAGCATGTTTCTCTCGTGTCTACGTGGCCTGCCTTCAAGCGCCTTGCTATCGGCTGCTGCATCATGTTTTTTCAGCAGTTCATGGGCTGCAATGCCATCATCTACTACGCCCCTACAATGTTTGCTCAGTTGGGGCTGTCTGGAAATACATCTGGTCTTTTGGCGACTGGTGTATACGGCATCGTCAACACGCTCTCAACATTGCCTGCCCTCTTCTTGATTGACAAGCTCGGCCGTCGTCCGTTGCTCATGTGTGGTGCAGCTGGAACGTTCATCTCTCTCGTTATTGTCGGTGGTATCATTGGAGGCTTTGGCTCGGGTCTTGCCGACAATAAGGCTGCTGGCTGGGTTGGTATCGTCTTCATCTATATCTACGACGTCAACTTTTCGTTTTCCTTCGCGCCCATCGGTTGGGTCCTGCCTTCGGAAATTTTCAACCTTGGCAACCGATCCAAGGCTATGGCCATCACTACTAGCGCTACTTGGATGTGCAACTTCATCATCGGCCTTGTGACACCTGACATGCTTGCCAACCTTGGCTGGGGTACCTACATCTTCTTTGCCGCATTCTGCCTTCTCGCCTTCCTCTTTACCTACTTCTTTGTCCCTGAGACTCGTGGAAAGAGTTTGGAGGATATGGATCTCGTCTTTGGCGATACTGCATCTCATGAGGAGAAGGCCAGGTTGATGGAGATCGCATCTTCCATGGGCTTGACAGAAGCCGTGCCTGGACACAAAATCGGTCTAGCTAAGGAAGATGATACTACTGCAGAGCACTTCGCATAGGTCTAGATTATGAGGCATATGGAAGAGCTGATATTGTATGAGGTAGAAGAGCATGAAGTAATATTGGAATATCCCATAACGCGGTAGAGAAAAGAAATATCTAAAACTTGATATCTACTGCCCTCCATGAATTGCTACCACAGTGAACGTCTCCTTGGAACTTGAAGTGAGAGAACCAATCATCCTGATAAGTAATGTTGTACCCGGCACTGGCATACACCTCGGATACAGCATTCGCAAAGATATCCTGCTTGTTGATTACAGGACCCCAAGGCTTAGGTGCAAGGACCTTCTGGTCCGGCAGAACCAGACCGTTGACGGTACCTGGCCAGAGAGCCAGAACCTGTGTAGCTGTATCAATCGCACGTCTTTGCAGTGAGTTCTTTGGAGTACCGGCCTCTACGATCGATTTCGCCTTGTAAACAGGTCCCATAGCGCCTTTCAACGTAATGCCGGTCTTGCTTGAGGTCTTTTGAGGCGTTTTTGAGGCATCTTCCTCTGCAGTTGAATCTGATGGCTTCTGTCCGGGACATAACCAGCTGTTTGACTCAGCATAGTAGAATGGCATAGGAACTCGGAAAATATCCTTGTCAGTGATTCCAGTCTCTCGCTTCAGGATGTTGAGATTGGCTTCAATGCGCTGAGCTGAGCTCTTCTGGATGGCGTCAAAGTTCTTGAACTTGAGAGCCTCTTGGATAGTCTGCCTGGGAAGACACAACTCCTGCTTCTTCTCCTCCACTTGAAGTGAACGGGAAACAGCCCTGACACTTCCATGACCGGCTTTCGACGCCTTCTTCAGAAGATCAAGACCCTTGAGCGGATCGGCAACCATAATGATCCATCCATGTTCATTGTAGGCAGGCAGGAACTGAAGGAACTCGTCCACATGGCCAACGTACAGCCAGCTTGTATCGAGAATCAGAGGGTCCTGGACTTCTTGGGCCTTGAGAAAATCAACCATGAGAGGAGCTCTTCCGTCCCAAGCGCCCATGATCGTTCTTCCTTGAGGGAACGACTTTCCATTGTGCTTGTAGGGCGGAATAGTCTCCAAATTTCCAGTGGAATCGATAGAATCGCCGTCACCTGGATGTTGAACTGCGCCGACCTTATCGTTTCGGAGTTCATGGAATGCGTCGCGGCCGGATCTACGGGAGCTCTGGACCGATCGGATCATGATTCGGATAGTAATCGGGCCATTCGGGCCAGGCATACTTGAGTATCCGGGTTCAAAAAAGTCCTGTGTCCAGATATCTTGGTTGTCGAAGAGGAAGATGGGGTCTTTGATATCGGAACCGGCGACGTTGCGCTTGATGTCATCCACAAACTGCTGCTGCTGAGGGTTGGAGCCAGGTTCGTTCACACCCGTTGAAAAGATCCGCTGGGCGACCTGCCCATGGTGGTGAGTCAATACAGGAGCAACTCGCACAGCGACAGTGTCTATTGCTTTTGTCTTGCCATCAGTGACTGTGAACTGTATCTTTGCATTTCCATCCCAGCCCTTGGGTCGACGAACATCGCGGGCATCAACACCCAGCTCGAGACCCGACGAAAGCTCCTTAGTAGTGAACACATAATCGCCCGCTACGTAGATCCATTTGTTACTCTTCTTTGTAAAGACACGGACCTTTGCTGCGGCTGTTTTATCAGTGACTTGGATAGATCCCTTAGCAGATGGGCTCAATCCAGATATGGGAAGTGTTTTGAGCGGCGCAAGATATTTCGGGTTACGTTGAATGTCATCTGTCGCATCATTGCACAAATCCAAATAAGTCTCGTTGCTGGAGATGATGTCGACGCTGGGTCCCCATTTCTTAGCGCAACGAAGGCCAGTATCGCCGATGTTGGGCAAGATTAAGGCACCTCGATTAGGGGTCCATGAAGATTTGCCGTCGATGTCTTTCTTATCGACATTTCCGTCGCGATTGGTATCTGCGAGGATGGTCACTTTGAGAGCATCGCATGTTGCGATTAACGCTGTAGTAATTGTCAGCAGGGATGATCTCAATTAAATACAGCCTGTGTACCTAGCGTCAAGCCAGTCGGAAACTTCATTTTGACTTAGAAACCCCAAGACATTGAGATAAAGGACCCAAGAGACAATAGGCTGTTTTATGTTCCTCAACACATGTTATGCTTATTTATAGCAATTGATAGAACATCCTTCCATTGAACTCTAATCTCGGTAACATGACTAGAAATCCACTAGCAGGCTCGTATAGATCCTGCGCTCGTTTTCTAGACCAGTCGATTTCCTGTGGTGGAGCAAGTCCCTTGCATTTCCGAGGATACAAATATGGTGGCTCCTTTTTAGGCTGTTGTTAATGGTCATAGCGTTTAAACCTCTGACGCTTTCGTTCAATGCACATGCCGTCAATCTGAGAATGGGCTCGATTCTGGAACTGCTGGTTTTGACGTGACATAGAAGATGGCGTAATATAAATACTATCTTTTGTATAAATCCTGGCTCCTATATTGAAATATAGATAATCTTAATTCACTTATAGACTTATTAATTGAATAATAAGTACATAGTATATTTTCTAAACCTCTTTAATTTTTTTAATTTAGAGGTTATATTTAATTCTTAATAATAGAGGTAATATTTATATAAAGACTTATTATTTAAGAAACTGATCTTCTAATAACAGGCCTAACTACTGCTAAAAGATATATAGTGAAAACAACACCTAATGTACTCGATAGTGCTATATACCCACACCAGAAAAGAAGAATTAATGAAGAGTCCGTAAGGAGTACGCCATGCAAAACGGATACTATTATCTGTCCTGGAAAGGAAAATGGCAGTATGCACCACAATAAAACTACTATATGCCAAAGCTTTATATGCCAGAGACTGTACTGTTGCAGATCTATCTGTTTTTTCACAATTAAGACAGAAAGAAGTAACATAATCGGCTTCCAGCAGATTGACGCGATCCGAAGTTGGCATAGACTGCTAAAAGGTTAACTAATATATTCTTTCAAGCACAATAAAGCATTTCAAACCTCGAGCACTGACTCATATCCGATTTGTGCTCATAGAGAGACACAAAGAGTGAAATGAAATCTAGAAGTGTCGCAATCGATAAGATCGGGATTAAGGCTCTCAGCGGTCGGTATCGGCCTTGGGTCCAGTGGTAAACCTGAGGACTAAAGGAAGGTGATTCTGAAGACACAACTGGCATCTAGGATTTGTTAGATAGGCCGGGGAACTCAATGTGAAGTAATCAATTATGTTAGCAGTTAGGTACATACTCTGGTTAGTCGTTTAGACAAAACCCATGAAGGGCCTGTATTGTTTTGGCCAGAGATAGAAGTGATGCAAGTCTGGTATTAGATCTTGCGTTAATCAAAGTCGAAATAGCAGCTAGTATTTGTAGGGGTTGTATCTACTCACATGGTCCCTGGAAAGAGAACGACGATGGAATTTTTTCCATGCCTCTGAAACGGGTCCTATTTCTCGAAAGTTCACACCGTTTTCGACTGGACTTCGAGCCTTTGGCCCCGTCACTATGGGTTCGAACGGGACAGGGATTTTGATAGAAGTTGGTAGAACAAAGAGGAGTAGGATAAGGAAGAATTTCAGAGCACAGTCCACGACGCAGATGATGACCACTGGTCTGACTCCAGAAATTAATAAATCGGCTGATGTATTACGGATATCATAATAGCGACTCAGTTCTGCGCGCAATTTCGAACAATGCTCTTCCCATTCAGGAAATGGGCCTGGACCTTGAAGTACTTTTATAAGATTCCAGGCTTTAATCGTAATGGCTATGACACAAACCAAGGTCGTGCTTATCAGTAAAATCGACAATGTCTTTGCTGTTCGAGCCCAGCGCTTCTGAGAAATCAAAACAGCGTGCGCAAACAACTGAATGGCTTGGAATATTAAAAGAGATCTGGCGATATTTGAGATAACTCCCGATGCGTGAACCTCGTGTGCAGCATAGCAGCGGATTTGGAGGACCACGTAGTTGCCATTTCCATCCTTAGTAAACAGGGGAACTGTGTCAGGGTTTGTCTTCCATGACAGGAAAAACAGTCCAAAGGCGCAGGGGACATACACAACCGACAGAAAAACGAACAGATAAAGCGGTCGACTTATTGCCAGGCCAAGGTGGGAGTACAACGGCATCCTCACTACAGGTCGATATGTGCGTCTCTTGAAGTGAGGTTGTCACGATTGCTGACCGACGCGTGTTTGAAAATAGTTTGAGGGAAATTAAGGTGCGAGATAAGCTTTATCGTAGGTCACGTGGAGCATTTATAACCCCTGTAGTTGTTGGGTGTTGGTTGTTGGTTGCTGGTTGCAAATTTCGCGCGTCGAGAATCTCCGCTCCGTGACTTCATTCTTTTATTGTGTGATTTTACTCCATACCTCTGCACGATAGATCGGGTTCAGTACAGTAGCCGCCCGTGAATATGGCTATGGGGCTCTGCGATTCGTGTCGTGCATTCGACATTCAGGCTTTTGACCCCATTAAGGGTCGAGTAAGGGGGTATAAATTACTGTCGGTCATTGCTGCCGCCGAATCTGGCTGTCAGTTCTGTTCCATACTCCTCACAGCGCGTTTTTCACCGGCACTTAAAAAGGAGGGAGTGATAGCAAACCTCCTTCATTGGATGCAGTGGATTTATTTGCAACCTGACGACGAGTGGAAGCAACGGTTGGATACTCAATGCCAGCAAGATTATACAACCACTTCCAACCTCGGCAGTCCACTCGGGCTTACTAGATTGTGGGCTAGTAGCTCAAGTCCCGCATACCATATACTCCACCGCTCCACGCCTCTGAGCCCTTTCCAGGTTCTAGCTGACGAAGGTAAGCTATCTACTTGCTGATAGTAGTAGAGTCTACGTGATAGTAGCTAACTATTAACTAGAGTCTCCTGCGGCTATCAGTGGTGATGTAACGGGACGACTACTAAGCTCAAAGACATCGTCTGACGATCACGTACGGGTGCTATCGCGTTGGCTTCAACAGTGTCAAGAATCCCATGAAGAATGCCGAGTATCCTTATCGGGCTCGCCTTTACTCAATCCGGAAGTCACTGACCTTCCAAACCGATGCATCGAAGTCAGCCGTAACAGTGATGGGACAAGAGGACTTAGACTGAAGGAAACTGGCGGTCGACGGGGAAAATATATCACGCTCACCCATCGCTGGATTCAACCGGACACCGCCAACGCCTCCACTGTACAAATCAACTACTCTGACAGGCTTCAAGGAAAAGCGCTGGATCATCTTCCAGCTCACTTCGAGGATGCCTTTGATCTTGCATTAAAGATGAATATACCATTTCTATGGATTGATTCGCTTTGTATCATACAAGACAGTCAACAGGACTGGATGATAGAGGCTTCCCAGATGGCGAAGTACTACCAAAACTCATTCTTTACAGTCGCTGGTTTTGGAGTTACCCGAGACACAGGACTATTCGCAACCACTGACCAAGACCTTGGGCCCAATCTCGTCCGACTTCCATATAGAGACCGACAGGGCGATCAAAAAGGCTACTTTTTTGTATGTCATGTCGATCATTCGGAAGTCAAGAGTCAGTATGACAGAGAAATCGCTCAGTCCGATTTACTGAGTAGAGGTTGGATCTTCCAAGAGTGGATATTGAGCAGACGCGTTATATCCTACACAAGAACGGCTTGCTTCTATCAGTGCCAAAGGACCAGTCCGCGAACCACAACTTCCAATGATGTCAATCTGAGTATACTCAATGATAAACATGCTGACATCTCCCTTAAGAATCATTTTAGGCTCGATTCTTTGAAAGAGGACGAGAGTATCTTTCAAAAGTGGAGATTTGCTGTGCATACTTATTCTTCTTTGCACCTTACCAACGCTGGCCAGGACAGATTGAGCGCACTCGCTGGTATCTCACAAGAATTTGCCACAGTCATTAATCGCTTAATGGATCAGAAAGATCATTGGGGAAGCTTCTATCTATCTGGACTATGGGCCGGAGACATTATAGCAGGCCTTTTATGGGAAATGGATGGATCGTGTTCAGACAAAAGACTGAGTGGGATTCCTACATGGTCCTGGGCATCAGTTGTAAAACCTATCGTCTGGCAGCACGACCATCGCAAAATATCATCGGGACTTATGGCTCAGACCAAGGGACTTTGCAAATTCCTTGGTGCGAAGAAAACCTCGATGCGTGAGCAAATGTCAACATTTGAGTACGACCTCACCAGAGATGCCGATCTAAAAGGTCAAGTCATTCCAGTGGAACAATTTGTTGTGCCACAATTCAATACCCTTGTTATGCAGGGAAAGCTTCTTCGTGTCAGAATCAGTGGCCTATTCGACTCGGACTCAGACCTGGACATCGCAAGCACCTTGTCAGGTTATGAAATCGACCACAAACACAACTTACACGCGGGGTTCACGACAGTTCCCGAAACACGGACACGGGAGTATTGGAGGAAAATAAGCCTTTCTCAGTTTCCGGAAATTCTTTGCGGATGGGCATCAATCGATGACTTGGTTGCAAGCTCCGAGCCCATACTCCAGGATGTCGTTGCTTTTCCACTCACGAAGGCAACTGTGAAATTTCCAGGTTTTGGTCTCGGTTATTGTTGGTATTCGTACCAGACGTACAGTGTCCTTCTACTCCGACGCATAGCAGACGGTTCATCTTGCTTTGAGCGGATTGGGGTTGGGAGGATCTTTGGGCCACAGACAGAGGACCAGCTGAAGTCAGCAATTGAAACAACTTTTTGGCTAGTTTGATAGTCTTTACCTCGATATGAGATTTTAAATTGCGTCCTCTGTTTTTTTAGGCTGATCTAGTTTGGGTCAGATACTCGATCCTGCCTTTAATTATACTTGGGTATTATAATCTCATTAGCTACTACCAAAGAGTAAAGCAGCTTCACTAAAGCCAGATGATTTAATCAAAGAGCGAAAGCATAGGCCTCTGTAACGGATTTAACCCGTGATTCACTTGTTGCGAGCATCAGCTGTCGGGCCTATCAGCTCAAAATAGCACTCTTGTCTGTATATAATAATGTATTATAGTGAAGGGAACTCTAAACTAGCTGGCCAGATATAACATTCAAGCAATTAACCTAAATCTTTCACAGCTTGTTAACAAACAACGCTCAAAGACCAGAAAGGATCTGGGGGAACAGTTTCTCAGTGAAGTCCCAAAGGATAGGAGTGTAATCGGGAGCCCACGTCAGACCAGTCCAGAAAGTGTTGCGCTGGCCCTGGAGGGCATAAATCTTATTATAGAAGCCCTCCTCAAGCTCCTGAGCACAGACCTTAGGAACAGTCAATCCGTGAGATGCGAATGCAACAATATCAGGAGTGGTAACATCGTAAGTTCCAGCCTTGTCGATGTTGGTGAAGACCTGCTTGATGAGAGCCTTGGCCTTCTGAGCTGTCAGGTTGGCCTGACCAAGGACACGAGTTGTCCAAAGGTCCTGCTCACCGGAACGAGAGTAGGCGTCGACAAAGTTACCTCGTGGAAGGTAGTAGTTAGTGGCGTTGTCAGCGGTGTTGGTAATGCCGGAGACGTCCTTGGGTAGGCTTGTCTTGCCGACGACGCCAACGTACAGCGTCTCCCAGGAGAATTTGGAGAAGAGCGACTTTTCTTTGGTATCGAGGTCCCAGGTACCCACGTTATCGGGTGAAGGTGTTGCTGCAAAGAGAACCTTCTTGGCCTTGATGGTCTTCTTGCCAGAGGGTGTCTGCACGACGAGCTCTGAGCCCTGGGAAGTTCGCTTGCTCCAGGCAACTGTGCTTTCAAGAAGAACGTCATCCTTGATCAAGTTGTAGACGTTGTCGTAGAGCGACTGGGTAGAGCCTGTTGATGGATACTTGAATGAAGGGCCAGTAAGACCAAACCCAAAGGCCGCAAGCTGAGGCTCTCCAACAACAGCCATGACATTCCAAGTCGGGGTGTGCGTCGCGTCGGAGAGCCAGATAAGAGTTCGCAGGATGGAAAGGGCACTCCCAAGCTGATACTTCTCAAGGAACTCGCCAAAGGGAAGAAGAAGGTCCTCGGGGACTTCTCCCTTCTTGAAGTAGCCGTTCTCGAACCAGGGTTGATACTTGATGGCCAATGCAGCATATGTGGCCAGGGCGACAGTGGCATTGATAGTGCCGTAGTCAGGATCAACCTTCTTTCCGGTGCTGAAGTCAATGTCCTTGGTGGTGAGTAACCCCTCGGCGGCGCTGACTAGATTGGGAGAGACGAGTCCGACATTGAACCGCTTGAAGAAAGCCTTGGTTGTCTTTCGGTCAAGGTACGCTTGGACTCCATAATTGATCGGGCTCGCGTTGGCGCTGGGCTTGTAAACGTGGACATGACCGCCCTAGGAAGGCGTCAGTAACAGTCTCATCTCTCGGCCAAGTTAACTCACGAGTTTGTTCTCCTTCTCAATCACCACGACCTTCTTGCCGTAATCCTCTCGCAGCCTGACTGCAGCGTAAGCACCAGTTGCGCCACCGCCGACAATACAGACATCGACTTCGATGGTTTCCTGCTTGGGCGTTGCGAGGACACCATGGCCTGCCAGGTAGGCAAAGAAGGGGAGGAAATTATTCAGCTTCATCTTGTCAATAAATCGAAGGTGAATGAAGAGTTCCGAGAGAAGACGGAGGGGAGAAGGCTTAAGTACGTGCGGCTGATTGCTGACCTCCCTTGTGTCACCGGCCTAGCCCAAAATTTTCCATTGCACGTCAGCACGAGCACAGCGAATCAGCAGGTCGGTAGGATGATGCAGTGTGACCTTGTCATTTAAAAATTCCGGCACGAACGCACGGCCGACTACGTAGTACCGTCGATCAGAAGGGATTTTCAGGGCGCCGTGGGAACTACCGACGTAGCATCCGGGACTTTCGGCCATGCAACAGAGTTTAATTCAAGGTCTCATGCCATAAGTCAGCGCACGAACATTACCCGTATAATTTTATTTTAATATTTCTGGAAAGTATAAACATGATATCATTGCCAATGTCCACGCAACGGACTCCGAATTGAGAGGCTGTGCGTATCCGAGCGGCCGTAGGCTCCTTCATGGTACGTATGCCGCAGAACCTCGGGTCCCACTTGGAGTGTCGAAGTGCCGTGGAACAATGGGGCACCACCGACATCAAGGTCATTAATTAGCTCATCAGCACGAGCTGTTGACCCCTGGTCCTTTCAAGTAGTACCGGAACAAGACAGAAGAGGTGATCATCAAAACGGCTTGGTGGAACATGATGTCATTTGACTGAAAATGGTATTCTATGTAAAGTCTCTTGATTCTCTATAAAAACTACTCAAGCCGATAGAAGCCTTTGTTTTCAACCTGCTTAATCTCCACTACCGTGTCATTTCGCACGTGGATTCCCGCCGTATCGATTTCAGGACCAGAACCCGATTGCTCGCTCGAGATCATAGTATGCACTCCTTCGGACCGTGACCCGTCACCAGAATGATAATGCAGTCCGTTCTCAACGTCTGCCAATTGATGTGTTGAGCTTGTTTCATCCGCTTCCCGGTCCTTGTTTGTCCGAATAAGAGTTGTAAGCTTGATGGCATTGCTCGGTCGGCTGATAGGCTGACTGCTTTTGCCATATGAACTGAGGAAACTGGAAGGGAGAATATGCACAAATACTGGACGTAGAAGAGGGAAGCACGCTGTTATAACTAGTCAATGACTGAATTAGGTGAATGACAAGATAGGTACTAACCAGAGACAATGGCGATATTGACTTCAACAGAGCCTAGAATGCAGAACATGGCATAGTCATGAGGCATCTGCGTTGTGTTATCGGGGTAGTTAACAAGCACAATCAGCACAAACATTGATGCAATGCATACACTGTCCTGGAGGTTAGTAAAATAATTCGGATGATGTAAGTGGGAGGATATGAGATCTTACATGGTACCAAGAAGGAACAAGGCTCCGATTGCTAGCTTTTGACCTGTCCGAAGTCTAAGTCTGAAGACTTCAATAATGGGTAAGACCAGGATGATTATATCCATGATAAAATGAGTCGTGATGGTTCCCAGGAAGAATTGGTCGCTGTTGATGTTGCAGACCTTGTCTGTAATAGTGTAGTCCCAAAGTGACTGGACAGGGACGCAGCGAAATGTGAGCATGAAGGTTCGGAGGATGATCCAGATGACGACCATAACCAGCATCACCATGATCGGAATGCGAATGGATGAAATGCGAAACAGTCGCCAATACAGACACAAGATGGCGAGCTTGGAACAAGCGATTGATGACGCGTAACACAGGGAGTTGAAGTAGGCCAGAAATCGTGCTCGTTGCAAAATCGCCTCACGCTCATCGGTAGGCATCGAGTCGGGAATATTCACTCCGAGATAAGCATGTAGCGTCCCTGTATGGCTGTAAGTCTTGTACCCATAGACAAGACGGGATCGTCACTGACATTCAACCATGATACCGCAATACCCCGTCGCGAAGAGAAACGCCAGGATGGTGAAGTAGTCGTCAAACCACCAGCTCATCTTGGTCATGCGCCGGGCGCAGACACGAAGAATGAGCGACGTCAAAGCCGCGAGCCATGGGATCGCGACACCAGCCCAGATATTAGGTTGGAGTCCAGCCATGGTGTGAGCAGGCGCTGTTGCAGCGCCAATTCATGAGAAAGTGTGCAAAATAACAGGAAACCGTGGTCGAAAAGTTTTGCTTTGCTGCAGCAAGAATGGGGGCAGGATGGGATCTGCATTTTGAATGGCAGCCGATGACGAGAGCTGAACCTGTCTGCAGAACAACTGACTCGTTCCATCCAGCCATGATAGCTTTCCCCGGATACGACCATGCCCAAAGGAGCATGTTTTATCGTTATCTCGTCCTAGCTCCAATAGATAACTCGACCGCTGCAGATTACCCGCCAATTTTGAGTTTGCGCTTGTTGGGGTAGTGGGCTTGCTACTGGCTGCAGCGCTGTGTTGGTGACAAGCCTCGTTTGAGAGTTTTGGCAGTTATCTGTTCGACAAATCATCTGGAACAGAAACATGCTTCCTTGGGCTTGACTGATAAAGAGCTGAAGCAAGCTTAGGCCGTCTAATTTCCACTCTTTTCGGAAAAGGGGCTTTTCTTGTCGGTATTTGGGTCTTGACTCGCTGTCAAAGATCATGATTCTCGAGAGTCGCTTCCAAGCCACAGCTGAGTGTGCTCTTAATTCCGCTCCTGAGTCTTGGCATTTATCATGGATTTTGAAGAGACGAACCATTCCCGAAATGCAGAATTTACTCGGTACCAGCATCACTAGCATACTTTTGACAGTTTCCTTCGCTTAAATCTCCCAAGATCTGTCCCTTGCGCATTGACCCCGGATCCTGGGATAAGGAGCGACGCTTGTACCTATTCAATGTGCCTTATCATCTGACTTCAGAGATCCCTGCTGTTGAGCATCCTACCAATGTAACCGAGGATTTGGTATGGAATGCTCATTGGTGTTTCTTTCTCCTGCAGAACTCCACAAAGGCTGAGCAAATCAATCTGGGGACATGGTCGCAAGATCACTCAAGACTGATTCGTGGCCAGATACGCCTTAGTTCTCGGTAGCACCAGCCCAGTCACATGCTGGGCTGGTCTCCTCGTACCTTGAAGCCATGCGAGGGCTTGGACAACACTACCGAAGCTTCTGCGAGCTTTGAAACAGCCACTCAATGCCACAGCTAACCCACTGCGGCAATGCAGATTACGCCATTCTCAGGGCCAGGAGTCCCATTGGCATCTGCGATGGCAGACTGGCGAACTCATTATGCACTTAAAACCATTATTTATTGGGCCTGGTACCTCGTTCTCTCTTAATAAGAGTGTTAGCTTGATGAGATAATGTCTGCGACCAATATGAAGGAGAGCCTATTCACAGAAGGAAGTTGGACCTACATTTCACAGTTCAAAAAGATAAAACTGTAGAAGGCTCAATCAGCCATGCCACACAGTCGCGTATACACACTACTAAAATGCCATTTATCAGTCCAGTCTTCCACCATCTTCAGAACGCTCCTTCGATGGCTCCCTCCAAGTCCCATGTGTCGAGTGCAGTCTCTCACGGTCTTGATCCAACTGAGATAGATGCGATCGAGTATTTCTGTATCTTATAATAGAGTGATGCTATCGCCTCAGTATTATCAGGAAACTCTAAAATTATCTTACCAGCTAATCATTAAGTCGCTTTAAAATACATATAGAGCTATAACCTAGTTGCAGTAAAGACTTAGTGAAGCATACGACTTAGTTGGCACCATGTGGTGCGATGCAGTCTTGCCAGTAATTTCTGTAACGACTTCGGAGATCTTTTTGAGGTTGGCGTTGTCAGTCAAGGCATGGAGTTTGCTGCTAATCGACAAGTAATGGGCCGTCCAAAATCCGGAGCTTAAAAATGCGCGTGTCACAAAACGAGTCACACTTCTGATAATGGTATTATATGAAATCATAATATTGAAGATAGTAATCCCGATATTAGCCTTAAAGTACTTTTATCTGTATTATTTCTTTTACACCCACTGAAAAACAATTAGCCTGCTTGCAGCCTTTAGTCAGCGTCGCACTGGTTTCTCGATATTGAATACCCTATAGTGGGATGAAAGCTCGGAAACAATTTGCCGAATCGGCACCGACTGGGGATAACCTCATAACGCCAGACGGGGTTAATCGCACATATCGCCGAGTCCAACATGTCCAAGTCCATTGATCATCCTGAAATGTCGATCCCATAATTTCTGAGGACTATATAAGACTCAGATTCTACCGCTGGTTGATCAAACTCCAAGTTCAACAACTATCTCAAACACAGCACTCAGCAATCAGCTTTAACATCATCACCATGTCTACCACTTCAATCGACGCATCTTCCCCAAGTGCCTACGGGCCCTCTGAAACAGCTCTTCTTCTCCTTGATTGGTACACCCTGTTCATCGAGAAGGTTGCTGGTCCAACTGCTGAGCCAGCCTTGAAGGTTGCAGTTGAACTCCGAAACTGGGCCAAGGCTCACAACATCACTGTCGTTCACTGCCTCATCGATGCAAACGGCACTCCATTCCCAGCCTGCAAAGGCGTCAATCGCTTCCAAGGGCTCTTGCAAACCATGAAGACCCTGGAAGAACCTGAACCAGCTGAACTCCGGGCCGATGACAAAGACGAGCTCACTTTTCAGCGAGTCCCAGGACACATCTCGGCGCTCAAGTCACCGGGTTTACTTGAATATCTGAAGAAGAAGGGCATCAAGTCTGTTGTTCTTTCCGGTCTGAGCACTTCTGGTTGTGTTTTGAGAACGGCGGTGACGGCAACGGATGCCGAGTTCGCGACAACAGTCATCAGCGACGCTTGTGCCGATGGGGATGCGGAGCTTCATCGGGTCATCCTGGACAAGATCATCCCTTCAAGGGGCCACGTGAAGAGTGCTGCAGAGTTTCAGAAGGAATTTGAAGGGGCTCAAAGTGTTTGAACTGGAGATTTGAGACTGGCGCGACTTGGGATGGGTTCAGAATCACAGGGATCTCAACGAAGCGGGAACAACAATCGGAATTCTATATCACAGATCTCGGAGAAATAGATATGTCAATAAATAAGCCGCACTCTATTTTTAGGATATCACGGCAATTGCAAAATTGCGCTTATTGAGCCGGTAGTGATGACATTCCGATGGATCTTGGGAACGGGTTTAATGTGCTATAGTAGTTATATCCGTTGATCCGATTCTACTGGCTCAAGCCATTCTCCACCCTGGAAAACCGGGGCCGTAACAGATGGACTGGCAAGATTGGATCTGGAGATTTCCCATCCTCTTCCTCTTTATACCTAGCGCTCATTTCGACCAGAACTCACCCACCAGTCAGCTTCATCAGAAGAGCTACAGTAAAGCAATTCTTACCAGCTTGTGTCTATGTTCTGCGTAAATCTGTATGGGTCCACCACGCACAAACCCAAACGGATGTCACAACTGTCGACGAAAACGGTTCCGCTGTGATGGATCCGTTCCTTCTTGTCGCAAGTGCATATCATTAGGGAAAGAATGTCTTGGATACGGTACACTGTGGAGATGGACGGATTCTGTCGCCAGCCGCGGGAAGTTGTCTGGCAAAAAGATACCTTTGTCCAAAGACGACTCAGATTATTCACCATCAAGTCAGACAGATGAAGATGAATGGAGACTAGCTACAAACACTGCCAATCAAGTAATAAGCAGCAATCCTTCGTCGGATCTGGATCTTGATGATAGTATGCAACTTTCCGGCAACTTGACTGATCCTTTGTTCTGCGACATGAGCTCAAGCGATCGTTATTATTTATCGTATTGTTTGTCATACTCTGTTGGTCCTGCTATGCTCCTTGCTGACTACGAATAACTAGTTGCGAATGGCCTTTGTCCTCAGCTTGTAGCGATAGACCTACCAGGCCACAATCCGTTCCCAAGATTGTTGCCAATGGGATTCTGCAGCCCCGTCCTGCAATACACCATGATCACAGCCGCAGCTCTACATATGTCCAATGTTCTAAGACCAGATATCGACAAGTCGCTGGTGACACCAAATCACGCCAGCAACTGGAATCCATCTCGAAGAGCTATGCTTGATGCATTGGCGGCTAAACAAAGGGCGCTGTATCTTCTCCGCATGGCATTTCAGGACCTGGATACCCATGGTCGTGATATGGTCTTGACAGCTGCGATGCTTCTTGTGACCGCTGATATGATCGACTCGGGGAAACATGGCTCCAAGGCACATCTTGAAGGAATCGGCTGGTTGCTCAGTTATGCTCAGCCGGCTAACAGCGTGGGCGAGATGCTCAAGGACTTTGTCATATCAGATTGTTACATGTAAGCCTGATGCTTGTTGCTCCAAATGACGGGAAGTTAACTGATTTGCCAGCTTTTATGTATTCGCTTTGACATTCATGGACCAGATTCCGCAGTCTTCTCTTGCACTCAACACAACAATCGCGTCGTCTGCTATTCACTATGCCGCCCGGAACAGCTTTATTTGCTGCCCTGCTGAGATCCTCCAGATTCTATGGTCCACTGCAATAATCTTGCAGAGGCAGTCACCCAAAAACGATGGCGTGGATGAAACGGCTGCGAAAGGTCTTGAATTATTCATGGACGCCATGACATTCAACGTTGAAACTTGGTCTTGGGACATCCAGCAAGTGCCTCTTGGTCGGCAGGTCACTGATATCTCAAGTCGGATACACACTGGATATACACATCAAATGGCATGCTGTCTATACATCATGTACGCTATTCCATCTGTCAGAAGCTTTCTACCGGAGAATACGGAGCAGGATCTCGAGAAAGGGCTTATCTTTCATCTCCGCCACATCACTGACGAGGACCCCAACTTCAAGACATCCTTTTGGCCAACGTTCATCGCTGGAGCTCAAACAAGTGATCCCAGTCAGCAGGCGTGGATAATGGATCGAATGAAAAGACAGTCGCGTTTGTTCCCATGGGGCTTTTTGTATACGGCGATGGAAACGCTTGAGCTCATCTGGAGGCAGCGGGCCAATACTCCTGATGGGCTGAACTGGTTGGAGATTCTGAGAAGTCCCGAAGTAAGCTTTCTGATTGTGTAGGGAGGCACTTGGTAGGGAATCAGAAGATCAGGTCACTCGGACTCCAGTCACGACCTCACTGTGGCCTAAATGGGCGTTTGCGACATTTATGATTGATTTGTTGTCAACTTCTCACGAGAGGCATATTATCTATTCCTTTATTTGAACTTGTAAAGATATAGTAAAAGCATGTAGCATTCTAAGATCTCTTTTAATAAAATACAGACTTTACAAGACTGGTCTACAGGCGACTTGAGATTGATCGGCCGCCCGCAACAGATTTCGCAGCCTCTTTTCCAGCCTTGGCTCCGAAAACAGCACCTGAAGTCAGGCCACTTCCACCAGGGTAATTCGAGTAAAACAAGCCTCCCACCATCTCTCCCGCAACATAGACGTTTGGCACTGGACTACCAGTTGAACCATGAATCAACTGAGCAGTTTGGGGATCAACCTTGACACCACCAAATGTGAAGGTGACGCCGCAGGTGACCTTGACTGCCACATAAGGTCCCTTGTCCAAAGGTAGAGCCCAGTTGGACTTGGCCAGCGCAAGCTTCTTCGCGGAAGACTGTGTTGATAGTCCATCTCTGGTGGCAGGATCCCACTTGACGTTGGGGTGCTCGCGACGGTGAGCATAGACTGCTTCGTTGTACTCTCGAACAGTGTCAACAAAGGCAGCCTTGTTTCGAAGACCGCGTTCTGCGCACTTGTCGGCTAGTTCCTCAAGCGTGTTGGCAGTAATGCGCTCAACGCGTTCCTCGCGGTACTCTTCTCCTCGTAGCCAGCCGCTGGTTCTGGAGTCCCAGACCTGGAAGGCGAGGTGCTCGGGTTGTTGGAGAATAGCCCGACCAAACTTGGCATAGGTGTAGTTTCGAAGATCAACGCCTTCGTCAACAAACCTCTCGCCATCAACGTTGAGCATGAGGCCGAGAGGGTATCCTGACTTGGTGTACTCGTTGGAAGCTTCTCGATCACCCGTGTTGGGGTTAGCATTGGCATCCCAGGCAACAGAGTGACAGCCAGACCAATTACCTACAGCCTGTGCGCCAAGCTGTTGAATGGCCAGTCCCAAAACATCGCCAGTGTTGTAAGGTGTACCTCGAACCATGGCCAAGTCCCAGCCAGGTCCGAGGAACTGACTTCGCATCTGAGGATTCGACTCGAAACCACCAGCAGCTAAGATGACAGCACCAGCGTTCAATGTACGTTTGACGCCATTAAGAGATACTTGGACGTCGTAGCCGTCATCAGAGGAGTGCTTCTTCAGTCCCGTAAGGCCAGTTGACCAAGAAACTCGAACATTGTGCTTCTTGATGGCAGCAAGATAGTCCTGAATAAGACCCTTGCCTCCATCCTCGGTCTTGATGCACATGCCGCCCCAGAACTTTATTCTCCCATCAACCTCATATGCTTGCCTGTTGAAGGACAGTTGGAATCGTATTCCATTCGCAGCAAGCCACTTGATGGTAGGATTGGAGTTCTGAATCAGGCTCTTTGAGAGTTCAGGGTCTGAACGTCCCATACAGACTCTGTCCATATCGTTTTGGAAGTCTTTCTCGGTGTAAGGGGCAAGATCGATCTTCTCAGCTTGTTCCCGGGAGACGTTGTTGACGATTGGTAGGACATCTTGAAGTCCGCCATGGGCAATTCGATAGGCGCCAGCAGTGAAATAGGAGTTTCCACCGACCCAGTTCTCGGGGCACTTGTCGATAAGAAGGACGCTTCCAGCGCCGTTCTGAGCTGCTGAGAGGGCTGCTGCAAACCCGGCATTGCCACTGCCCACAACAAGGACATCGACTTGCTTTGGAAGAGCCATGGTAAGGTGAGAGGTGACCTTTGAAGGGAATTGGGATAAATTAATGTCTAGGAGATGTTTTGTGATCGATGAAAGATACCGGGTTGATTACGCTGATGTAAGGAGTTTATATAATTATATCAACGCCTCCAGAGAATGATGCTGTCGCAATTACGCCACTCGAGACGCGGGGACTCATCCTCCGAATTGACGACCAAGCCACTGTGGAACTGCTTTCAATTGGTCCCATTCTCGCAGCATGTGGCTGATTGTGGAGAAAGGAACAGACAACCCGGAGACTGATTCTCCGAGTGATGGCTCGGTTACTTCGGTAAAGACAAGACTCCACATTCCGTTCGGAGCTTTCTTCTGCGGCCTACGAACCTCAGGTACTGTTTGAAGCAATTCTGCAACTCCGCGTCCAAGATGGGCCCATCTGCAACAATCTTATCATATCAATCATATCATTTATTCTCCACTATTTCGCAAGACCCTGCCTCATGTCTTCTCAGGGCAATGGCGTGATAATGGTCGCTGACGATGGACCCAGTCAACGACCACCCAAGTCGTTGGCAAAAGCATGTCTGGCCTGTCGGACCAAGAAGATCCGTTGTGACGCTGTAAAGCCCGAGTGCGGAAATTGTGCCAGTCAGAAACGTGAATGTATCTATCGGAAAGAAACTCCACGAAAAAGGTACGTCATACTACCTAGAGTTGATGACTCTAATAAATGGCAGACCTACGTTTTCTCAAATTGCAAAATTGCAACGGGACCTGGCAGCTCTCAAAGTGTTCCTGTTGACTCTGAAGAGAAGTAGCCCGGAGGAGCGGGAGAAATTACTCGACGCAGCCGTTGATGAAGATGGGGCTGTCAACTTGCTAGACTCTACTGAGCCTGGCCCTCCGGAAGAGGCTTCATCACGAAAAAACACAAGTCAGCCCATTGATAGAAGTGCTACTACACCAATAGTATCGTCAGATGATGAGTTAAATATTGCCAACTTCATATCTGTTGATGATGCTGGCACGACAAACAGCTTCGGTCCATCGTCTGCTCTTCACAACCCGGCAAGGAACGATAGGGGAACACCATCATCCCGTCAATCCACAACAACAACAGAGCACGTCAAGAACGAATTAATAGCCAATGCCGCTTTGCAACGTCATCTAGAGCACAGACTTACCAGACTTACAACAATTGCTGGAGAGCCAACAGAACTTGCACTCCATCTTCTAAACTTGCACTGGGCTCGTCAGCATCATACTTTTCTGCTGACGTATCGGCCGGCTGTCATGCGAGACTTGGAATGTTCTGGCCCATATTGCTCTGCTTTCATGCTCAATGCCATATTCGCATGCTGCAGCAAGTTCTCCCCGCGACTTGACGTCAGGGACGATCCAGATGATGCGTCCAGCGTTGGCCGTCGTTTCTTCAAGCGCTGTGATGAGCTTCTCAGCAGTGAGTATCTTCTCATCAGACCACATATATCCACAATTGTTGGACTTGTCCTTTTAGGCTCGACATATAATGCCCGTGGAGAGACGTCAAAAGGCTGGCTATATACAGGGTACGCTCTACGAATGGTTTACGATCTTGGTCTTCATCTCGATCCGAAGCAGACTACAGAAGACCCTGAAGAGATTGAGATCCGACGACGGGTCTTCTGGGGCGCTTTTGTCTGCGATAAGCTCCAGAGTCTGTATATGGGTCGTCCAGTGGCTATCAGTCTGCGTGACTCACAGGTATCTCGTGAGTGCCTTGACTTGTACGAGGAGATGGAGCCATTTTATCCTTCAGCCTTGGCTACAGGTTCGTCATCTAGACTTGATGAAAACATGGGCGATGCAATTCCGAGACATTCCGTTTCGACTTTTCAGCAACTATGTCTCCTGTCCAAGATAATGACGACTATCATCAATCGCTTTTATGTGGTCGGAGCCACGTTCTCAAATGCTCAAGCCGATCTTCAAAAGATTGAGCAGGCCTTGCACCAGTGGCGAGATAAGCTACCACCGGAGCTAGATTTCCAACCATGGTTGTCGTCGAGCACTGCGATTCAAACACCCAATATCATGGTTCTTCATAACGTCTATCACTCTCTCATCATTCTCGTTCATCGACCATTCATCTCAGATGATCATCTCCGATCCACTGCCACGTCGCGACGGTCATGGGAGCAATGCACTGTAGCAGCAAGATCCATCACCAGTATAGCCTCATTCTACAAGTCAACCTACGGGCTGAGTGGCGCTCCTTATGTTCTCGCATACTCGGTGTATGTGGCTTGTACAATACATGTCCGCAATGCAGCTTCACAGACCCAGACACGTGATCATTTATTGATGCTCAAATCCAGTTTGGAATGCCTGGATGAACTGTGCACGGCAAATCCTGGTGTTGCCAAACCAGCAAACAGTATCAGGCGCTTAATTGAGGCTAACCACTTGAACTTGATTACCGGTAGGTTCAATCCTCCTCTGTGTTTGCATGTATGATATTGACTTTACAGCAGAAGAATCGCACTCTCTTAGGCAAAATCATATGTCGTTTGACTTGGACGTCATTCAGAGCACGTTTTTAGTTAATGAATTATCCCATACGGGATCCGAAATGTTCCGCATGGCCGATTTTGAGTATGGTCTGCCGATCGACCCTTTGTTTGGGTGGATAAATGTCTCAACCCCATTGCTGGAAGAAGAGACGCCGACCTTTTGAGCAGTACTCAGTCACTCCATCAGCCATAGCAGTAAAAGAGAGTCCCATAATAAAAGATTCCTGGTTACTAATCTACATAGTCCTTCTTGTGCTGTAATTTCTAAAACTTGCCTCCGTTAAATATTTCATAGTATTCCGCGTAGCTCTCCGAAAGCCCCAGCAGGGTTGGCCCAACTACTCGCGCATACATCGTCGCTATAGTATGAACCAAGACAGCCGACTTCCACTCAAGATACTGTACCCAATCTGGCGCTAATCTAGAAAAGAAGAATACTTTCATCCACCAAGTACAGAGAGGAACAGCGCCACACCATACAAAATACTCGTGCTTCTTGAAGATAAGCAGAAGTTGCAGCCATTAGACAAACATTATAATTCTACTCCATAACTGCCAACCAATGAAAGGGAGCTTGCGGATCTGTCGCAGAGACCACCGCATGAGGCGAGAGGTGATTTCCAGCTCGGGCCATAGCTGCTGATCCAGAGTAGCTAATAAACATTACGCTACAGATTATTATAGATTTAATAATTATTATTGTTTTGAGGTAATATTAGCTTAAGGAAATAGCCTGTATATTACTTATAACTTCTCTATAGTTTTTATGAATTTGAGGTCTCTATTTAGTTAAAATAATCTTTTATTTTAAAGCTAGATTAATCAAATAAATTTAATTATTTTATTTTTAGGCATTTTAAATTAAAGTAAGAATAAAAGTTATATAAAAGTAATAACAAGCCCTATATATAAAGTAATTAATAAATTAGTAACAGGGTTAATAGCAGCTAGATAGATAGTAGTACTTTAATAATTGAATTTCATATATTAAGATTTACTCTTATAAACCATCTAAGCACCTATTTAACTATATGCCCAAGTGCGAACTATATCTTTAGCTGAGACACGGCAGGCAGAGACACGGTAGGCAGAGACACGGCAGGCAGAGACACGGCAGGCAGAGATATAGCAGGCCGAAACAGGGCAAGCATGGTGCTTCTCCTATCAATGCATCTACGACAGAGAAATTGCACGTTAACTCAAATAGTACGGATGTGACATGTAAAGAGACACACAATAGCTTATGTAAAAGTCATATTAGACATAACACACAATGAGAAAATATAACAAAAGGGACATATTGATTGTGGATGCGCCTTTAAGATAATTTATTAAGTGACTACTTTTTTATTCTGACCGAGAGGCCTAAGTGAACACAGAACCAACGCAATCATGAGCGATGAAAACAATACCCCAAAACATCCGTGAGCCACGAATCCATTCACGTTATAGAAAGTGACTAACCATTGAATGACAAGTTATTTCCAAGGAAATTTTGCTCCAGTAAAGAAAGAAATATCTTTTGAGGTTTGCGAAAGCGAGGGGAAGATACCCTATGAGCTAATCGGTGGCCAGTATGTGCGAAATGGTGGCAATCCCTTAAGCCACTGTTCGACCCAAGATGAAATACATTGGTTCGATGGGCACGGAATGCTCAGTGCTGTATATTTCAGCGAGAAAGCTGGCATCGAGAGTGTGCAGGCGCTTTATAGCAACAAGTATGTCCGAACAGATATATTTCTTGCAGAAGCCAATTCCCCTGTATCTCGAGGACCCATACTGCTCAGTATGGCGACGCTACTCAACCCAGAAATAACACTATGGACTTTCATCATAAAGACACTGAAATTCATGTGGGTAATTATTTGTTCCGCTTGGGGCTGGGGAGATTCCAGACCTCCTATTAGGAGAATTAGTGTCGCCAACACCAACATTGTGTCCCACGGAGGTCGTGTGCTAGCTACGTGCGAAAGCGGACCACCTATGCGAATCTTGCTTCCGAGTCTTCGAACGGTCGGCTGGTTCAACGGATATCACGCTGAGGGAGAACTGAGTGGGCGTCATGACTGTGCCCTACGGCCCGGCTTCGGGGGAAACGGGCTACTGAAATCTTTCCGGGAATGGACCACTGGACATGTGAGTAAAAACGAATTGAATTTCGTTGATCGACACTGACTTCATGGGAGCCACACATTGATCCTATTACAGGGGAGATGGTACAGTTCCATTCAAGTTTTGTTTGGCCATATGTGCAATACTCTGTATTACACGGGAAAAAGAGCAAGAGCCTCTCTGGCACGCAAATCTTCAACAGTCGTGTGCCAGGTATCTCATCACCAAAGATGATGCATGACCTCGGAGTTTCTCGTCAATACACCATCATAATTGACATGCCACTATCACTAAATCCCCTCAGATTGATTTCAAAGAGGCCCGTCATCGCTTTTGACCCACGAGGACGAACTAGATTTGGGATATTTCCACGACACACGCCCCAGAACGTGCAGTGGCTTTCAACGGACGCATGCTGCATCTTCCACACAGTCAATACCTGGGATGAAAAGTCCACAGAAGTCGATAAGTTTCAGCTAAATATTAACATGCTTGTCTGTCGACTATCAGGTCCATCAATCGTCTTCCAGGCCGCTGATCTTCCCGTTCCAAACGACCAAGCTGTACGGAAAGACGAATGCACACTTTACTACTACAGGTTCTCTCTCTCCAGTAACGAAATATGCATATCCCAGCAATGGGCGCTAAGTGCCATACCTTTCGAGTTTCCGCACGTGCCGAAGCACCTCACCATGTCCTCTACAACGTTTGTCTATGGCTGCTCAGTTGGTCAAAGGGACCATACCAATGAACCACAAAAGTCGTTCAAGATCGGGAGCATAGTAAAATTCAACGTTCAAATGTTGATAACAGAGGGAATCGCAAATCCCCCCGTCGCTGTGTCCGGGTATGTTGACGACCGAACAATTGGAGAAATCTTGGCATCGCAGGATTCAGACGACTCAATTCAAATCTTTCCAATGCCGTATGGTTGGTACGCCCAGGAATGTACCTTTGTGCCACGCGAAGGAGGCATTTCGGAGGATGACGGATGGCTCTTGACGTATGTTTTTGATGAATCTCAACTCGATGCACTTGGACATGCGCCAGATAGTGCGAGGAGCGAATTATGGGCGATTGATGCAAAATCAATGAAGGAGGTTGTGATGAAGGTCCGATTGCCACAGCGTGTGCCATATGGATTACATGGCAATTGGTTCACCAAGGACGAGATCACGAATCAGCTTTCCGTCAAAAGTCATCGGGGGTAACTTATCGTTCATTACTGTTTTGACTTCTCTCCTCAATTTTAGCTTGAAGTTTATTGAAACCGTGAAATACACCATCACTTTCATAGGGTCAGAAGAGATACTTGCGTCATAAATGAAATTATCCCCTTCTTCGATCTACAGTATCGTGATATCTTTCAACAACACATCCAACGCCTTGACCATTTTAAAAGCACAGTAGAGACGCGACAACGCAATACACACATTGTAAACTAACTAGATGCATTCATGATTTGGTCGTCTATCTGATAACAAGTTGAGCGAAGCACAATGCAACAACAAGCTGCAGTAACTCAGCCCGAGAAAAATCTGCTAACAGAAATGACCGGTGTAGCTGTTGAAGGTCGAGGGCCCAATTTATCTGAAACAATGGAATTTGGAGGCCAGATCGACATGGTGTGACGCAAGCTAGGATCCCCACTACTCCTGGCTATGCCTTTGCATCTAAGGCTTGGGATAGCTTTTGTGGCCCCTAGCAGACCGCTACATAGCTACGAGCGCAAATAACATCATCTTGTCTTCTTATCCTTACATGCAAGGGCCAGAGAGTATTGCACGAAGAACGTGCAGTCAAAGTATCGAACCCAAAGACTAAATTCAATCTAGGCCGCTGTTAATTTCGAGCTATTAGTCTACGTCAACACTAAGAAAGCGATGCCTAGTATAGGAAGACGTGATAGCTTCCATTAAATCCACCTTTTGACTGCCGTGTCTCAGATGATAACAAATGTCTATGATCCTCCCTCGCCTCCCAAACTACAGTATCATTGTCACCGATCGGTCATTGACCGGCTACTGATGTATACGTTTCCTCAAGTCTCATGTTTTCGGGGCGGGTCTCTCTAGGACGGGCGTTCGTTCCGTCGACCTTTAGGCCTACACTTTTGTCAAGCTACCGGCCGATTTCACATTCATAGCACCATAAGCCGTGATGGACACAAAATAAATAGCGTCACATCCTTCGGTATCCCAAGTCTCAGACCATCCACAAATGACATGCATCCCAGTGTCAACAGTGTCCGACTTCTTATCCGTTCGTGCTGTCAGTAACGTCCAGGATTTTACTTTCGCCGGGACTCTACGCTCATACCTACATGATTCACAACCATGACAACCAAATCAGAACTCAAGACGATTCTTGTCACGGGCTGCTCGGCCGGCGGTGTTGGTGCTGCCTTAGCAATCGCACTCGCCACTAAAGGTCATTACGTATTCGCCACGGCACGAAACCTGAGCAAAATCCCTCCAGCGCTAGTCAGCCTTCCGACAGTCACAACGCTATTGTTGGATGTGACTTGCAAGACGTCCATAGCCACTGTCGCCACTGCTGTCGCTGATGCCACCAGAGCTAGAGGTAACCCCGGACTTGACGTTCTGATCAACAACGCAGGTGTCGGGTACACGGCACCGCTCCTCGACACCGACCTTGACCTGGCACAGCGAGTTTACGACACTAACATATGGGGTCCTATCAGGATTATTCAATCTTTTGCAGATCTATTGATTGTGAAGAAGGGAAGGCTGGTCAACATGTGCAGCATATCATCGGTTTTACACATGCCATGGATGGGTACGTCTTACACGATACTACAATGGAAAACGACTGACAGCTTTCTCTCTTTTCACTACAATAGGAATATACGCCTCGTCAAAGGCAGCCATGACCGTTATTTCAGACACTCTACGTCTTGAACTCGCGCCTTTTGGTGTTTCTGTTACCACGGTCGTTCTGGGTATCGTCGCTACCGACTTTAACAACAACAAATTTAGTTTGATACTACCACCGAGGTCAAGATATACCACAATCCATGAGACAATTCTTGCTTGGCGAAGCGGTGATATCGGACCCAAGGGCTGCACGGCATCTGAAGCGGCTGCTTCTCTATTGCCTGACATCCTTGGATGTGGCAAAACGGGAACGATCTGGAGAGGAGATAAAAGCATTTTCGTCAAGTTCTTGTCTGCTTGGACACCGGAGTTTCTTTTGGTACGTGGAAGCACTGATCCACAAGCTGTTATGTCTCATAACAATGAGACATAATCCTTTTGCTGACTGGTTGTGGTTTAGGATGCCATCGTAGCGAGGGGGCAGGGCCTAGACAAACTAGCTCAGAATTGAAGTAGCGGTGTGCGAGTAAGATCAGTCGCGAACAAAGGAAATCCCACAAAGTTTTTGTCTCATTGAAAGCCAATAGCTCCATTATGATTGTCTAGTAGCCATGAGTTCCGCCAATTGTAGGCAGATGTAGTGAGACATGCCGGTGAAAATGCCGGCTGAGCACCTCAACAGCTAGACTAAGAGAGTACCCAGTCAGCTATTGGTGAATGCATCTTAGAAATAGTGACCGCCACATGTCAATCGATCAGTTATAGTTAAGGAAGCTAAGGAGCAGGTAAAGCAGATTGTGAGACTAGTACGTGGTATTAGGATCTTTTACTAAATAAGGACTATTTCGTCACCTCACCCCTCATCCTACCATAAAAAGCTACCACGCAACAAATCGCACAACATCGGCTGGTGTCATACTGAACAACACACAACTGCAACTTGACACACACAGTCACACTACTTAAACTACTGCACATTTACGAAATGCTGCTACCAGATATCACCATATCGAACTGGGGCAAAGCATGGTGAGTATATTCATCGTGAGAATGGAAACTCCAATGCAAGTCACTGACAACCCTATAGGTGCTGGTCTGTAACAGCAATCACCGCGCTGTGTGCGATGGCGTTCGCCATCACAGCCTTAACAGCATCTAAGAAACTCTTATTGACTGTGTGCTCCCTGACTGCCTCAAGCTGCTACGTCATGTCGATGTGTTACTTCGCCATGGCCGCTGATATCGGATGGATTGCTGTCGACGTCGAATTTACTCGCGGGACTAGGACAGCACAGGACCACCACCCCAGTCGCCAAATATTTTGGGTTCGTTATGTTTCATGGTAAGCTGGCCTCTAAGTGAAATAAATTTTTTTAGGTTAAATAGCGATCAAGGTTCATCGTAACTCCGCTTCTGATGACCGAGTTGTTCCTTCTGGCTTCGGCATCTACTGGAGTCATATTGGTAGAAGTGTTTCTGGATCTTGTCGTAATCGCGACAGGACTCAGTGGAGCAGTAATTCCAAGTGATTACAAATGGGCTTATTAGTAAGGTTCTTGACAACATTACAATACCGACAAATACTGACCTAATACAGTTTTTACGGAGCAATCGCATGTGGTGGCATAGGTTACCAGGTCGTCTTTACTGGTAGAAGGGCTGCAGCGGTTCAGGGACCTGAGCTGAAGCGCAAGTATGTCCAGTGCAGCACCTTGGTGATGGCAGTGTGGGTAGGTTACGGTGTTGCATGGGGATTGAGCGAGGGTGGGAATGTGATCTCTCCTGCTGAAGAAGCTGTCTTTTATGGGATATTGGACTTGTTAGGGGGTCCAGTTTTTGGAACGCTTGTAGCTTTGGCTGCCTATTAGGATTATTGGAGATAAAACTCTAAGTATACCATAGCATTAAGCTTAAACACTATTATTATACTATAGGTTTAATTAAGATAATATATTATAGTTTAAACATTTAATAGTCCTATTTGAAAATATTTATTATATATAATAGTTATATAAGCTATTAAGTTATAAAGTAAGTAATTAGGCTATAATTACTATATAAGTAATTAAAAATCTATTATAGCTAGCTTATAAAAGCCTAATAGTATTATTATTATAAGTATAAATCTTAATATTATAATAATATAAAGTCTTTAATTTAAATACTTTATAATTATAATACTTAAGTCTAATTATATTAAATTAAGCTATATTTAGGTTTATTATTAGCAGATTATATAAAGTATAATATTGAGTAGTTATTAAAGTATTATATTTCTTAATAGTAGATTTAATATATATTAGGCTTAATTAATATAAAAAAAGTTTTATTAATAGTTAATAAGCTAAGTTTTATTTAATGCTAAATAAATATATATATATATATATATATAAGTAGCTTATAGTCTAGTAAGGCAGGCTTATAGTAAGTTATAAGTCTAAATAGTAAGTCTATTATAAGTTAATAAAGTAGCTTATAATTACCTTCTTATAGTATAATATAAGTTAGTAGTTAATTAATAAAATTTAATAAGGTATATATAATATAAGTGCTATATTCTATTGGGTTATAATAAACTAGTAGTAGTTTATATAAATTGATACTAATTATATTAAATTAGTTATAACTATAAAGACTTAGTGCTAACTGCCTCTAATGGAGGTAATACAAATTAGTTAGAGAATATAGAGTTTATATAAGTATCTATTAAGTTACAATATAAATAAGTAAATTAGTATTAAAATATAAATATATTTATAAAGCTTTATATTATTAAAAGCTTATATAGTTTTATAAAAGCAAACTGTACTTAAATTAAAATAATATATATAGTAAGAGATTAAATTAAAAAGTATACATTAATAGTAACTAAATGTAGTTAATAGGTTATAAAGTTAATTAAAGACTTTTTTAATAAATAAATATTAAAAATACTAAAACTAAAATATATAATATCTTAAAGAGAGCTACTTAAAGGCTATTAATTTAGCTACTATAGCTAAATAAATTATTTATTTTTAGTAAAACGCTTTGGCTAAGTTGCAGCCAAGTTTAGGGGCTTCTGCCGTTAATCTAAAGTATCTGGCACACTTCCCTTAAATGAGATTTATAAATTCTATAGCTTAAAACATTACAGTTACTATATCATCATTGAATTGAATTTGAGACGTTGGATATTGATTGGATTTGTTGTTAGTAATTTTTGATGAGCTGGCGGTAGTTGAAGCTAAATTCTGATAGTTCGATCGAGATGTAACTGATTTAGCTAATAACCGACTGGCGAAAGGGTTCCCTTATGCGCCCTTAATTTACTTGAAAATCACTTAACCGGTCGTTTTCTTTATTCTTTTTCTAACTGTTCGTTATAATAGATAGGACTACGGCTATATTATGGCGTTTAGTATTGGTGAGGGTGCTGTCTAAAGGTTAGCTGCAGCATTCAGAGGATAAGCACTTAATTGATTTGTCTTTTAGAACAGGAAAGGAGACTATTTTAGCTGTATTTATAGAGCCTAATCGTGCAGCTTTAATCCAAAGGAAAAGAAACAAAGCATCAATATGTGGTATATAGACTTGATCCTTGCGTTTGATGTATATATTCAGCGTATGATTAAACAAGTAGTATTTTTTGTTAGCGTCTTTGAAATACTCTGAGACGATTTAATGTAAACACAAGCTTTATTCTTTAGAATAAGTACAATATCCATGCCAGTACAACTCCGACTATACTTGCATCTCCCTGTAACATGTATTAGCCTATAAATATCTTTATATGACATTAAGGTATAACTTACGGATGAAACTATCTGCCCTGCATTCTTAGTAGACGTGGTTGTCGTCAGTGGAACCAGTGTTGAAGTTGATCCATGATCACTGCTGCCAGACGTTATCGACCTATCGCTGCGAGTTCCCGTCTCAACAGGCGTGCATGATCCTGTCTCAGAACAAGACTTCACTACATCGCCGATACTAGCACACGGCTTGGAGCCAATCGAAGACGCCGCAAGCGAGGCGTAAAAGGACGGTGACGCAGTGGAATAGTATGCCAAGCAGTTTGAAAAGGGTTCATCGTAAATGCTCGGGTCGAACTTGTAGTTGGCGTTATAGCACAGGCAGGGCGCCTGGAAAAGGAATGAAGAGGTTATCACGCCTGGGCTTAAGCTGTTGCAGATGTCCAAAGACTTGGAGACACTTGCGCAGGCTGCAATGCCGGAGGGAGCCTTGGTCACCAGGGGTGCCTCGGCCGTAGTTGTACTGACGGCAGCCTGGGACGACGACGACGTAGGACCAGCCTCTGAAGTAGTTGCCGATGCTTCGGCAGAGTTAGGCACCCGAAGCGCACTGCCAAGACAAGACGCTGGTTCGCTCTCACTCGCACAGCAGGCATTAAGAGCCTTCTGCCCCAGGCCTGTGCATTGCTTACAAATCACGGATGCGCAGGAAGAGATGGTTGGAGCGCAAGTTTGTATAAAGTTGTTACACTCTATAAAGACGGTCTTCTTGAAGTTGATATTGTCGCTAAGCTCAGGTCCAAGATTAGGTACAGGGAGTTGGGCAGAAGCCAGAACTGCCCAGATAAAGACGAGAGGAATCATTATCAGTTAATATTTCTAGTAAAATATATCGGATTTAAATGGAAGAATATGGGGAGGATGCTACACTCCATGGTGAGAATACTTGTAGATGATATCTGCGTAAAAAATTCCGAGGACGCGTAAGCCTTGGCAGCTTCACGTCGTTGTGTGGCATATGACCTTCAAACCCCCTGTCCCGCTTGCCCTCCTTAATTCTAACTTAGACTTAACTGGGATTCACCCTAAAACAAATGAGCCTTATAAGGCAGAGCGTGATAAATAATCATCCCGTCGATTGGACTTTCAGCCCTGCTAGCAGCGGTGTGGCGTGGAACTAAGGCTGCGGGGTCTCACATTGCATACAACTATTGATATATCGGCACCGATATCCCGAGAAACCGCGAATACCGCGTCTTGAATACCTGATTTTCTTCCTCTTTGCTTGCGCATGTGCGTAATGGCCCCCACCGATGCCGGGGACGGTCCTCGGCTTGTCTGTCGAGATATCATGCTGAGGGGTATCAACTCTTTGCCTACCATTTCTTGAAACTCAGAACGAAGATCACCATCGTCGCGACAACAATCCAGCCATGAGCGACTACAAAATCCACTGGGGTCTGTGGCATAACTACTCACTCGACTACTCCGAGCAGTTGACTCTGCCTGCCTTTGTCGGCTCTATCCTAGTTGCCAGTACCTCCACATTCATCGCTATCGCAGGCGGCCAACTTTGGAGTCTAATCGCGTTCATCGTGTATTATTACCGTGCGAACCCAGGCGAGCCGCATGATGGCATTCATATCTCCCAGCAGGCGCTGTACAAGAACATCTCCTCCCCGCTCGGGCTCGTGTGGTCTCTTATAAAGGGAAATATTGTCTATGCGGGGCTGGAGAGCTGGAAGAAATGGTGGAAACGACGAGCGAGCCCGTATACGACCCGACGAAAGCGTCGACTGTGCTTGTTTGGCGGCCTACCAACGTTTGTCTGGCTAATTTACACCGCTGCTGGGCCCGCATCGCCATTCCTGACGACACACCCGGTGTACAAGGGGAATGAGGTTCTAGCCAGGAGTCAAAACTGCGGTTTCGAGCAGTGGGATCGGAGCACATCCCAAGGAAACATAGCTTTCCAGAAAAATAGCCTGCGAATAGCCTCGGAAGCTCTCAACTACGTGAACAACTGCTACAATTCCACGGATGCCCTGTCTTGCTCCGTCTTACCCCGAAAGAACCTTGACTATGCGGTCTATCAGACATCCGACTGTCCGTTTGGAAGTCGGTGCAAGGTGTCGCCGATCACGATGGAGACAGGATGGATGGACTCACATGAGGATTTTGGGATGAATGCGCCAGTGTCGGATCGCGTACAGATGCGCAAGCAGGCGATGTGTGCGGTTGTGGACGTTCGAGACTTGACGACTCTGGCGTCAATTGGAAATGACCTGTTTCGATACGAGTACGACTTGGGTCCAGTCGAGGGCCTGTCAGAGAACTATACGGCCTATGCCGTAGAGAGACAGGCCCCAGACTATGTCGGATACAATATTCAGTAAGTATACTCTAGCATAGGCGATGGATGATGCTGGTAAGACCTGTTGGACTGACCATCTGCAGGCCATACTACGCCTTTCAAGGAGTGGATGGCCCCTGGACGCCTATAGCGGACTTCAACTCGTCAGATGGCGACGTGAGCCTCTTCGTCATCCAGTTCGGCATCATAAAATACGAGTCCAAAGTAACAGATCCCTTGTTCTCTGCGACCAAGCCCCTCAACGACACCTCTTTCTTCACGCCCGACATGCCAGCCGGCCTCATGGCCTGCATAGACCGCTACCAGCTACAGAACCCATCCGGTAGCATCCAGACCACGATGGGGTCCGTGAAGCAAGTGACGGGCCAGTTCCAGAAGCTGAACTTCAATAACGCCCAGATGGCCGCTGCAGCGCGCTTCATGTTGCCCAGCTCTTTGACAGAGATGTACAATGCTGTCAATGGTCTCGGTGTTGCTGCGCTGCGCGCCCAGCGGAATGTGTTTTCTAGTGTTTCTGTTGGCCTGCCTAGTGATCAGTGGTTGGCAGAGGCTAGAGGCTGGTTCGAAACGACATTGGCTATGTATCAGCTCAGGGTTGTCTCATTTGCCTTCAAAGATGACTCTCAGCTAGATCCTTACATGCGGCTAAACCTAGATCTATTGACTTCACAAAAGACCAACATCACTTCAGACCTCGAGAGTATGTGCAGCCAGCAGAAGCTGCGAAACATCGCCAAGTGGCAGACCTTTTCCATTGCCGGGCTTGCCATCATCGCGGGCATCGGTGGCGGTATCATCATCCTCAGCCTCGCGGTGGAGGTCATCGTTGACTCTACCTGGAAGCTGTTCTCACTGGTGCGTAGGGCGACGACGTCATCTAAGGCCAAGAGCAAGAAGCCGACCTCGAACCTCCGATTGGAGCAGTGGAGGCTTGACTCGGTATCTCAACTACAGCGGCGCGCATTTCAGCATGCTGGGCAGGGATCGTGGGAGAGGGGCGGCGACGATATTCCTGTCCTGAGGGGGACGGTAAACCTGCTGGGAGAACAGAGGCACGAATTGGGTTATGTCTCGGTTCAGGATGAGACTGGAGATGCCAGATCATAGGTGTCGGATTTTTATCTCCACTAACCAAGAATTTAAATTAGAACGATTCGCTAAAGACAAGGCAAATATACATTTAAATGCGCCCACCAGCATTAGCGGTATTTGTTGGTCGGCGGATTTTCGGTTGACTACCTTACAATACGAAACAGCTTGCAAGGACCACAAGCCATGTGAAGGTTGGATTGCGATGCAAGGAATTTGCTTACATATCTTTATTATGGGCGTCCCCAGTATTTAAATCGCAAGCGAGAAAACTGTTTCCCTTGACTGTTTGTAACCTACACTGTCATAAGCAACATTCATAACAAGCGGCATCTGACATGGCTGAAATTGCAGTGTTACTCAGGTCCACCCATCCATCTAGAAACGAGCCGCACAGTTAACGCCTCGTTACTAGATGGCCTCCAGTCGTGTTAAAATCGCAGTAAAGGTTCATCTCCCCATCGACATTACGCGGCAAGGCGACACAGTGTGGAGATGATTTATGCACTGTATTCTCCTCCCCTGAATGGAGGCGCCAATTGTCCAGGCACCAACGCACCAGCGCCTTGGCAAAACACTAAACCCTCCAACATTTCTATTTCGCATCAGGCAAGAGCCACATTACGATTCAAGCCATAAATATTTCTTGTATTGGTGTGACGATTCCTTCCCTTACTCTCAAGGATACCTAGGTGTACCTAGTAGTTGTAGTTTATCTGTTTCAGCAGCCCTGTCATTATGGTTCATCGACATGGCGTTCCTCAGCATGAAGCACCACTGTTTCCTCTGCATTGTGGGTGCGACTGTGTCTTGAAGGACAAAGAAAGGAACAAAAGTCAATTCAGTTGAGCACCCAGAGAGGAGATATATTCTAATGAATCATGGATTATGACCACTAGCCTCAGACCCTTGGTAGCTTATGCATACAACACAAGGGAAAGACTAAACTATTACTCAGTTCTCAGTCAAGCGAGCTTGCTAAAACTTATTTGTAAACAAAGGAAAGGAAAGGAAAGCAAAGGATATTGACATGAAAGCTATCTAGTGATATAGTAACGTCGGCAGTTTTGAGCCAGGGCAGTATCCTAATGAGTGGGCTGTAGCTGTGCCGGTCCACCTCTAGCATTCTGGCAAGCATAATGTGCAATACATTCTGCGCAAGCCCTGGCCAAGTGACACTTGAGCAACGCGGCGCCAAGCACGGCATTCTCCTCCCCAATTACTAATGCTCCTACCGCTATGGGATGGAGTGTATAACCGAAGAACGCTTGACAGCGCAGACAGCGTGCTTTGGGCTGGAAGCCTGGGCAATTCATGGCCATGGCGTGCTCCAAGTTATGATTCTGGCGGTGCGCCCAGCCGACTTTCACCCCGTTGCGTGCGGCGAGGCGAGTGGCAGCATTCACAACCGGTAAAAGGGCAACGGCACCTCGGTACAGTTGTCGAAGCTGCAAAGACCTGGCGGCTATCCTTATTGGGTCTCGTAGTGCCCCAACACCGTTCCAATCGAGGCGTCGAAGTGGTTGCCGGCAGCGCGTGGCGAAGTTTTGCATGGTGCTGAAGGCGCCCCATTCGTCCTGCGAGGTGGTGATGACAAACGCAGGCTGTAAAGGCACCGCACCATCATCAGAACCAGCACAGACGAAGACAGTCTTGGGGATGGCCTTGTTGTAGCAGTCCCACCAGCCAGCCGCCCCGACAGCGTTCGGTAACTGACTGAGTCGGGACGCAAGAAGGTCTTGGTGTAAGGGTTCTTCAGACGAGACAGAACATTAGTACTGTTATACTGAAACGGTCCATTTGGGTTCTGATATGGAGAAGCAACTCACGCATGTTATTGTAGCCACGGGCAATGATACGACAAAGAAGCTCAACTGTGCCAAGCCCGCTCAACGGTGGGCACTGGGCTCCTAGTGCATTGGTCCCAGCCAACGCGGCCATAAAGTTAAGAAGCTCAGGATCGTTGCCAAAGCCCACAACCGCGGCAGTGCCGCGTAGGTGGTCAGCCGCCAGAAACGCACATACCATAATGCGTTGCATGTTTTGAAGAAATGCGGCATGCAGATTAGTGCCTTGAAGTGGGGTTATCTGGATGGCGGCCTCGACAGTCCTAAAAACGAGGTCCGCGTAATACACCAGTTGCAAAATTAGCGTTGTCGACGTAAACGATCTTCGCGATCGTGGATTCCGCATTTCTCGTGGTATATCGTGGGATAAGACAATGGAAGACTTTCAGAATAGTGTTAACGCTATTATTGCTGATCTGTTGCTACCATGCAATATACACTTGATTGTCCGCTTTGGCTATGAAGGTGTTGCTTGGGTGCAGCCAGGATCTAAAGCTGCAGAAGAGGTCAAAAACGCGGCTGCCAAAGCTCAGGAAGATGCAAAAAATAGTAAAATGGCAAAAGAAGCACAACCAACCAAAGAGGAACCTCAAGAAGCGACAGGGGAAGCTGAAAAGGCCGAGGCGGAGGCACAAGAAGCTGCAGAGAAAGCTCCAGTGGCGAAGGAAGCTGGAGAGTCCGAAGCGACAGATCTTCTGGAAAAGGAGGCCCAAGCCGCCAGAAAGAATTACGCCACGGAGAGAGCTGACGCCGCACAGAAAGCTCGGGCAGCAAGGAAAGCTCAGGATGAAATTGAAGCTCAAGCCGCAGAGGATGCCAAAGCCCTGAGGGAAAACATTGCCAAACTTCCAGATACAGCTCGATTTATCAGTCACCTCGTTCCGGATATGGCAGAGGATGATCTTCTCCGGCGTCACAATGGACGTTTGCCAGGCATCGAAATGGCCTTCGTGGCCGGACTAGCGGCATTCTTGGTCACAGAACCGGATGGGTCCCTCGCGAAACTGGGACCTACACAGGTGGGCGGGGCAGTGAAGCGAGGAATTATTTGGTCACATCGATTTGCATCTGCTGGGTTCTGCAAAGACTCCAGCGGTGTCTTGAACTATCCCGAGGCCAGGAGCATCAACAACGACCAGATACCTCAGCCTAAAGTCATTTACGCCGATAGCCGTTCGTTCAAGAAAGACCAGTGGTCTCTCTTCAACCAGGTAGAGGGCTGGCAGTTGGAGGTAGCTGTGGAGACAGTCAAGACAGGAACTACGCTCATCGAAACTACCGTTCCTACTGCTCGATACGGCGATTTGAAGACAGCAGACCGAGTGGAGATTGAGGGATTCCGATCTACGGCGGCTGTGATCCACGAGTATCTCCATGGTACAGCATCAAGGCCGTTGTCGATTGCAGTGTTTGGTCAGCCAGGTGCCGGAAAGTCCTTTGGAGTGAAGGAAGTCATCAAGACCGTTCTCAGCAGCTTTGGCAAGGGCCTCAAGAAGGACTGGAAGCCAATCGAGGCTAATCTTTCCCAGTTCAAGGATCAGTCGGACTTGTCGGGCATCTTTGACGACGTCAGAGATATGATCATATCCGGTGATATTCCAGCGGTCCTTTTTGACGAGTTTGATTCTGCCTTAGATAAGCAGGCACTCGGCTGGTTGAAGTATTTCTTGGCTCCTATGCAGGATGGGAAGTATCTTCAATCCGGCTCCGTTCGATCTTTGGGGCGAGCCATTTTTGTCTTCATAGGCGGAACATCAAGCACCTTTGAGGACTTCACTGGAGAGAGCATGAACAGTAAGAAGGCTGATGAAAGTCAGAGTCAAGCCAATGGCGCACAGGATTTGCAGCAGAAACAAAAACGGGCAATCAAAGACAAGCAAGCCAAGAAGCCCGACTTTATAAGCAGACTCAGCGCCCACATCAATGTTGCAGGCCCAAACAAGAGCGACAACGACAAGGGTGACGAAATGTGGATCATGCGACGAGCGATGCTACTGCGAAGCATGCTAGAGAGACGTCTCGGGACCAAGGATAAAGCCGATAAGTCCATCAGCGTGGACGAGACTCTTCTTACGGCGCTATTGAACCATGAGAAGATTCCTCATGGGAGTCGTTCAATGGAGCTTCTTTTGCAAATGAGCAGGCTTTCCGACGGGCAGAAATTTGACCTTTCCGCATTACCATCAGACAACCAACTCGGCATGCATGTGAACCTTGAAAAGTTCCAGAAGGACTTGGCAAAGGAATGTTTCGAGCAGGATTTTCGTCCCATTGATACCGTGCTCTACAACAGGCAGATGTGGTGTACCTGGGAGGCGAAAAAGATTGCAGCGAAAAGTAAGGCCCAGCCTGTGGCATCTGACAAGATATCTGTGCCTCAGGGAAAGGAACAGTTGGATGGTAGTGGGGAAGGATCCGGTGCAGGCCAATCTGTTATACACGTTTGATGCATAACTGAGTGTTTTGGGTATAACTATATACATGTATGCTAAAAAATGATATATTTTCTACGTCCTTCAATAGACATAAGATTTCCGAGACTATTTTGGCAGTATATATAAATACTTCAACTAATGTTTATTAAAAGTTTAAAACATTAAGTATGTAACTTGACGATCTACTAGGAATAAGCCAACCAGCCATGCCAAGCATTCCTGACCCGTTCTGCCTTTGACACAGAGATGTATGCCGAATTGGCAAGTCTGTCTTGTAGTTCTTTGAACTTGGCTGTAGGAGCCCCCTTGTCAAAAAGAATATCCAATTCCAAGTACGATAGCTTCTTTGTTTCAGGGAGCCGAAAATAGCACCATATCAGACAAAGGAAAGATGTAGCAGCATACACCAGACAAGACTTACCACCCAGGTCCCATGCAGATGGGTTCAATAGCTGAGGCGCGACGAAATTATTAATAATAGTGAATATGTTATAAACAATCCTTGCGAGGGCAATGGTCTTGATCCGAAGTCGTGTTGAAGGTATCTCGGCCACGATGACATAGCAAGCCGGACCAATGGACATATTGTAAGTAAAGGTCATCAGGATGATCAAGGACCCAAGCGCCCAATTGAGCGATGAGTGGTCGGCCAAGACGATTGACAAGATACCGCCTGTAGTGAGAATAAGCAACGCAGCCACCAAGCCGGCTAGGTAGAGCTTTCGCCGTCCGATTGTCGAAAGTAAGATCCACGATATCATACCGCCTAGAATTCCGAGACCATACATTCCTGTAGCTAGAGTGAATGACTTGGAGGACTCGAAACCTGCTTGTTCTAGGAAGTATGGGGCGTATCCGGTTAATGTGGCGCCGCATAGAGCTTGACAAGACCAGGTCATGCAGCACACTTCGGTCCTGCGGCGGTTGCAGCCTCTGAAGAGATCTAGGAAGCTCGAACCCCCATATCCTAGTTTCTTCTCTGTTGAATCAACATGCTGCATGATAGCGATTGTATCCTCGATGTCTATATGTTTGTTGCTCGTGAGTCTCTGCAGTGAATGTCTAGCTTCTGCTAGTCTTTCATGTCGGATTAACCACCCTGGAGTCAACAAATAAGTAGATGGACAGCAATAGATCTCAACTAGGAGAGTCTTACAAGGACTTTCAGGAGCGAAGTAGATAAGAAACAGCAGTGGGACCGCCCATGCCCATTGCAGGGCAAATGGTAGGCGATACGACCAATCTGACGTATTCTTGAGAAGTGCCCGCAGTATTCCAGTGCCCATGAGCTGGCCAATTAGCCAGCACATATTGACATTGCTGAGGATGGCGGCACGGATGACCGAGGGTACTACTTCAGCAGCATAGGTCGCAGCTAAAGTTTGAATCACACCCCACGACAAGCCTTGGGAAGGACCCGTTAGTTTCAGATAATCGTGTATGCATAGCGCATGGAGTTGATGGATGGGGGTAGTCTTACCACAGAGAGCTTGGGAGGCAAGTAGCAGGGCGATGTTGTGCGCGAAGAAAGCTGGGAACACTGCGAAACACATCCACAAAAGTGCGACAATCATCATCTTGCGGTATCCAATCACATATGAGATATAACCATGGGCAAGAAGGCCTATAATCTCGCAACCGACGGCAGCATTTTGAAGTCCCATTTGCCATAATGGCGAAATCTCATAGTCTTGCTCCCCAGCAGAGCCAGTAAGTGGCAGCCTGGGTTCTCCGTACCTACGCCTGAAGGACGGAAAGGCAAGGAAGCCCGAGATGAGTGACTTATCGTATGCCTCCATGACAACAGTAAGGAACAGGAGAAAAGACCACATAATCGCCTTGGGGAAGTGTCGGCAGCAGCTAAGCAGAGTCATCTCTTTCTCGCTTGCCAAGCCGCGATGGATACGTGCGCCGATACCGCCCGAGCTTGTCGATCGGCGGGGAAGCCATATTGGACTGTCAAGGGTGGTGGGATAAGCATGTGAGGGCTGGCGAGCAAGATCTTCTAAGGGAGTTTCGTCGACACCTGACTCGTGATGAGAAGCAGCTCCCTTGGAAGTCATGGATATGAGAACAACTTCATCTTTGCTGGGATTGGCATTTGACCCAAACATTGTCTCAGGAAATCAGAAAGCGGGGTATAAAGAGACAAAGATGCATCAGGGACAGGCATGTAGCGTTACATGGTCCACCTCGTACTGGAAAACGCATGGTGTTATATAAGTCCTCTCAAACTTGGCAGGATTTGACTTTAGACCTGATACAGGCATTACTGGAAACTACAGTTCGTTCCCCGGAGTCATTTCCCCAGATTCCCCCTGGCCTTTGCAGGAATTAGAGGCGGATGAGCATCACATGTCTGGGGAAATCGAGGTAAGACGGTTGATTGGGTCGTTAGTCCTGCGTAGAAGCCTGTGATCTCCTTGATGCCGTTTGTGGCGGCCAGCTGAGCCACCAATTAGGTTTGGCGTCATTTCTTTGAGGTATAGCCCACAGGCTAACAGGTAAGTGGCTGATTTATCGGTCCGATAACTCGATGTGCGTCTAGGGTAAGGATCCTTCGGTTCTTCCAGCCAAATGATAATGAACTTAATTCGCCTCCTTTGCGAGGGATAATTGTGTGCTTATCATAGAAAATACGAGGCATTCTGATACTATGATCCGAGAAGGACTACTTCTGTATGTACATCCACTCTCCCCAAAGAGATTAAACCACAAATCTTACATGCTTGCTTACTTATTGAGTGGTGTTCTTGAGTCGTGCAGCCCTTACAATTCAATTGCCCCTGAGCTAATGGCTTGATGAATAGCATGACACAGGCCGATTCGATGTCAGCACAGGGATGGACAGGTCGGGGTTGAGTGGTGAAAGTTCCTTGATGAATCGCGGGAATTAACTTAGTTTCTGCAACCACCCGGTACAGCTGGTAATATCGGGTTTTGAGGAAATTAGCAAGAAATCATAAAATTCAGGTTCGGGAACTCTAAAATCTATCTACTACATATTTATCATGAACGAAGTTGTCGCTCATTGTAGACCTCGGCGAGGATACGATCCTTCTTGGCAATATCTGCCACTCCAGTCCGATCCTTGAAAACGCTGTCCATTTCCTCAAGGGACTTTCCGTTAGTCTCAGGCACACTAAACCAGACCCAGGCGAAGGACAGAAGACAGAAGACGGCAAAGAAGACGTAGGCACCGAACCCTGTCTCGCGGACAAGAGGTGGCGTAATGAGACCAATGATGAAGTTGTTGATCCAGTCTAAGGGGGTTAGTGGCTTGGCACTTGATAGAGACGAGGAACTTACTTGAACAGGTGGAGATTGCCACGCCCTTTGCTCTGAGAGATGATGGAAAGACTTCTGCTGGCATGGCCCAGGGAACGGGGCCCCAAGATGCACCAAAAGCAAGCATGTAAAATAGAAGAAAAGCGACACTTGTCCAGCCTTCGGCAGTATGGCTGGGCCAATCATTTGAGAACTTGCCCACCAAGACAGCTATGATAAGATGCGGCACAAACATCAGGAAGCTACCCCAGAGGAGGATACCCCGGCGGCCGAAACGATCCAGGGTCCATAAGCTTGACAGAACACCAATCAACTGCGTCACGTTGAGGACGCCCGACATGATGAGTTGCATGTCAAAGTCGAGGCCCATGGTCCCGAACAGCGTTGGTGAATAATAAATCAGAGCGTTGATTCCAGTGAACTGCTGGAAGAACATGAGGCCTGCACCAACAAGAGTTCGACGCCTGCAGCCGGACTTGAAGCAATCTCCCCAGCTGACAAACTCAAGTCGCATCTTCCCAACCACATCTGTACGTTGAGTGAGATCAGGGTGTCGTTCGCGGAGAACATTTGCTTGGAATTGGGCCTCGGCGATAATTTCCATCCATTCGCGTTGGACTCGGAGGTCTGATTCGGGAAGGGCGCGAAGCTTGGCGAGGCTAGACAAGGCTTCAGCCTCGCGATCTTTGGAAGCGAGCCAGCGAGGGGAATATGGTAGGAAAATAGCGCCGAATCCCAACAGCAGGCCGGGGAGGATTTGAAGGAGGAAAGGAAGTTGCCAAGACCAGTGGCTGGGAATTCCCTACAAGTGGATGAGCATATGGTGTGGCGTGAGGAACGGAAACTTTTTTACCTTTGTACCATAGGTTATCCAGAATGCAACAACAATTCCTACAACAATCGACAGTTCTTCAAAGACGAGTAGGGCACCTCGGATCTCGGGTGGAGAAATTTCTGCAATATAGAGAGGCACTACCATGGATAATCTAACAGATGCACGGTCAATGTCAAGGCTTCTGGAGTCCTGGATGAACAGATTTAAAAACTGAACTTACTGTCCAATACCAATGCCACCGATGAAGCGTCCTACAACCAGCATGGCATAGTTGATAGCAGCGGTCTGGAGAGTAGATCCGATCGTAAATACCACAACAGCAACCATCAGCGAACGCTTTCTGGATATCCAGTCAGAGATCCAGCCCTGGTTGATGGCACCTATGAATGCCCCGAGCGTGATCATGGCGGTCATGAGGCCCTTTTTGAAGCCTGCGCCAGGAGCATCGTCCGAGACTTCGGGGAATCGATCGAGAAAATGATCCATTACAAGCGTCACTGAAATGACGCCTTGATCGTAGCCAAAGAGAAGGCCACCGATCGCCGAAAAGGCAGCACAGGCAGCGACGTAAGGAGATGAGAAGAGACCGCGGAATCCTAGTTTGTCAGCTTACCGAAGATCAAGTAATCGCAACGTATGTCGTCACAATCATATTCAAAATACAGGAGGGAACCTTAACTTACCGGAAGGACCATATGGCTCCAAGGAACTGTTGATCCCAATATGCTCCTCAGTAGTTGCACCGCACTCGTCAAGCTTGTCCTTGACGGGATCGAGTTGCTTGTCCATTTTGAGAAGTGTTATAAGTAGATTCTGAATGTAGATGAGCATGAATAAATCTCTGGTAATATTTGAGGGCGAGAACCTGATCTATTATAGCCCAAAATCT